TGCAGTATTTTTACAGCAGATTCAGTTGGGCATCCTTCCACAAATAGGTAGTACGGCTACATCATCCGCATACATCTTCACTAGGTATTATTAACACTAATATGGTGTGGATCATGTCAGGTTTTCAGAATGATCAATGTGTTTGAAAACAACATTTCAAAGAATAAATCTTTTGTTATTTTATAATTACTTCAAATAGATATATAAAAAAACTTTTAAAAAAGAAGTAATTCTTGTCATGCAGGAGGGCTTAACATTTCTGCTTTCCTTAGTTACATTAAATATATAGGTTTGTTGAGATATGGTATGATTTTCCTTTTTCTCCTTTTGACCATAATTACTCATTAAAATGTATACATTAATTATGTCGTAATTTGGTTTCATTAGGTAATTTTAAGTTCTGTATGGTTATCAGAAACAAATTAACATAAATAAAACTGATGGTTCATAGTCTATTTATGTTCATCCTGTTCTGCCTTTGCCCAATGGTTTTGTGGTAAATCTTTAGTTGTTGGTCTGTGCGTTTAGGAACAGCATTAGGACAATAGCAAAAGAGCATGCCAAAATTGTGATATTTCCTCCTGTGATCTGCGGGGCGATAAACTTGCAATTTGTTCTTTACCAATCATTCTGGTCAGCCTATCTTCACTGGATTGGCCTTTTTTGTTCATGTTTCATTTCGTCATCTTCAATGCATCTGAAAGACAATCCGGGGAGGCATCAGACCAAAATAATTGACAACGATAAAATCGCATTCTGACACAAAACCAATGAGAAAAGGTTAAAAAGCAAACTGGGAGACAGAAAGAATGGACAAAATCAGGATGATAGGAAACAGTCAAACTGTAGGTTTAACACCTCATAGATCTCAAAAAAAACTATGTAACATTTTTAAGCCTGACGACTTTCTTTTAAAAAATACAAAGCTTTTAATAAAATTATTTTATTTCTAAAAACAGAAAATTCTTTACAAACGGAAAACAATTTGAATTGAAAATAATACAAAACAACTAAAAATATATATATATAAATTTATGAAAGGCTGCGATAAAATAAAAATATGCCTTATCACAATTTAGCACATTTAATTTATCCTTTATAAAATAATATTTACAGCAATGAAATCAACATCAAATAGACATTTTCAAATGGCATCAATAATTTTTTTGTCAATAAATTGCCGACTGTTCAAGTCAGCTTCAAAATATATATTTTAAATTATTCTCAATAAAATTTATAACATACAGGCAACATTGAAACAAACAGCGTATCTCTCATATAGAAACAATCATTCAATTCTATTTAATATTTTAAAATTTGGCTTCAAACAAGTTATTGTGACGCTACTGAGAGGAGAGCACACAAAGTTAATGAGGAATGAGAGGAAATAAGTTGCTGGGGCGAGTTATTTACTCGAGTTGATCTGTAATGACTTAATTACTTTGTATGGTTTTTTATCTTCTCGAAAGTTCATGAGAAAATTATTTTTGTCGTTGTAAGCAACTGGCCGGATCAGAAATTAAAGATATTGTAGAAATGAAAAGTTTTAAAAATGTCATTAACAATTGAGTCAGTTCATGGTAAAAAGAAAAAAGAAAACTAGACAAAGAATTCAACAAACTGAAGAAAATAACGAAAATGAAACTGGTTTGTTCATAGACAAGAAGCCTTAAAAATCTGTCTAAACTGACAGCTCAGACTCAGAAAATGCTGTGGGGTGGACAAGTCACAAAAACAGATTGGTCTATACACACAAAAGCTGTCAAAGTAACAAAAATGAGTTATTGTTCAAAATAATATATAGTTCGGATGAAAGTGACAGGGGTAAGAACTGTCTTGGAAGGTTCGGCTAGTGTTAAGTGACAGAAAGTTGAAATTATTAAACAGCAAATTCATTGTTTCTTCTTACTTCATCGGGGCTGATTATTTAGAAGAAATATACGTCTATTTGAGTATATTATTATTAATAACTCAAATATACGTTTAGTTAAAGAGAACAACAAAACTATTGTATTTATTGGTTTTACACCAAGAACATAAAACTGTCTGGAAAGAAATTATTGCAAACATGAATTTGTAGCTTTGGCAGATCCACATAATTCAGCCTTTTGTGAATATAACATGAAAAAACACCTAAAACATTTGGTGTACATGGAAGTATTTAGTTACATTTATTATCTGTATCTTCGTTTCCTGTCTTTCTAAATCTCTCAAAAAATCTAAATTCGACCTTTCCACAATATATTTTTTAAATATAATATTTATTCCGTTTAATTCACAAAATAAATAGTAGCAATTTTAATATACTACATGAAACAAATTTGAAATTTCTACAATACTTTTTTTTCTTATTTACGCTTTTTAAATACATAACATACAACATTCAATTGAACTCTGTTTTGAGTTGTTTACATTATTCTGCTATAATAAAAACCAATTTTTTTTTCTTCTTCCAATATGTAACGACGTTAACATTTAAATACAGCTACAACAATTTAAGACATGACAAATATTTTTTTTTTGATCAACCATATTATTTTATACAGTTACCCTGTAACTTTTATTGTTAAGATTCAATGTTATTTGCAATACTTTTAGCAAATAATAACAAATTACAGTTTGTATTTAATATTTTCAAATTAACAGTGTGGTCCCTGAACGTTGAAAATAAAACTACTTAGTTTGCTTGGTGCGATAATGTAGTTTGGTGCTAACTAACTTTGTTTTTATTAGTAGCTATTTAATTTATAAATATCAAAATAATATTTTTTGATTAAAATTATATTTTGTCTTTTTTTTTACTAAACACAATGTACGTTGAAACACTAAATGAATAACAACTAACGTTAAGACGAGGAATTTACCATCGTATTAAAAAGAAAGTTTTAAAAAATTCCTTTTTATCAACAAACACCAAGCTGAAAATTCTTCAAATAAATTAATTTAGCTTGGAACAGGCATTGCAAAATAATTAAGCAAAACAAGATACACTTTGAAAACAGTGGCTTCAAATTAAATTTTCAGGTATAAAATAAATATTTCCTATTTTGTACGAGGCAGAAAATAATTTTTTTTAAGTTGAAAAGTTATGGCCTAGTTTGGGAAAAGAACCAGGCCATCACTTTTATCCAAAGAAAAATTCAACGTTGAGCATTATCAATTGTCAATATTGTATAGATCTTCCTCTAATTAATATCAACATCCAGAGTATTATCTAGAAAGTTTTTATGTTTGAAATTTAGCACTGTGATTAGATATGCTTTCTGAAACATCAGAGAAACAAATATTGACAAAGATAATCAATTTGGAATAGTTTCTTGTGGCCGCAATGCCAGTAGATCCTAGAGCAAACCCAACTTGTAAGATGCCAAAATCACTACAAAACGCATTTTCTAAAAAATCAACCCTGCTGGAAAAGGTGCTAAAATTGATTCCCTAATTACTGGTTAATTTAATTTCTCATTAGTAATGGTATGTATTAAGGATATGGATGATATATCACAGGATGCAGAAAAGGAGAGTTTTCGGTGGATTTTTCTCTCACATAGTTGTTAAAAAACAATAAATGATATACAGCAGAAAAAATCTATTGGATTCGACATGACCAGCTACAAATTGAAAAGCTTCTAAATGTACAAAAGTTTTAAAAAATGTCAAAGACCAGTGTAAACTGATCAAGCTGCGTTGTGTAAAACAGTCTCAAGTATATTTAAAAATTGGAATATCTGTAAAACTACAAAATTTAATTATGTCTTAATATTATAATTCAGAGATGAGACAAAATCTTTTTTTTTTTTTACATTACAGTCATGTTCATATTTGTATTTTTCATGAGTGATATGTTAATTAATTAAAATACCTTTTTAAGGGTACAGAAGTTAAGGATCTTTGAGGGTTTTCACCTCAATGGAAGGTTTGAAGCTATAAACCATTTTAGTTAAAAATTTCTGCAATCTCAAATTAAACGGTCTCTTATATACTAAGAAAATTCAAATGAAATTCTCAATTTCAACAGCTAAATTATCTTAAGCTTTATTTTCGATTATAACTTTTTTGCTTAGTCCACATAATGAGTTCTATTTCAGATTTTGAATGTGTCATTAGGAAGAAAACATTTCTCATCGAACAACAAAAGCTCTTAGGACCTTATTAAAGCTCTTCTGTGGTTTCTGCAGGCAATGGAGTGGCACAATGTTTTTATGAAAAATATATCCCAAATCTATGATATTGACAACACAACAAACAGTTCTTGGTCAATATTACGCTTAACTTCCCATCAGGAGAGCTAAATAGGATCACAAAAGAGGCATTTTTTACACAATTCCTATCAGCAATAAAAACAAAACAGTATCACAACCCTTTATTCTCAGGTCCTGTTCAGATTTGCCTTTTTCTGTAGGTGTAATTGTCAAAGATCCCAATGATTGACAAGCAAATTTCCAGAAATCGAGATAAAAGATTAGAACCTTTGGAAATATTTTTACTCTCATTACGAGAGTGAAAATGGATCTTCCGAAATTTTTGAATTGCCGAACGCTACTCCTCACACTAACTTTACTCTCAGTTCTTTAAATGAAATACAATTTTCTTGTACAGTTAAGATTACAACAATGTTTATCTTCATGACTTGTTATGGCAAAACTTCTAATGTGAAGGTTCAAGACGCAATTATGAAAGCATATTGTACATCTCTTTCTGAAGTGGGTCTAGGGGCATACCATTGGTTAATGGAGGCTAGTCATACATGTCTATCCATTCTTCAGATACAATGAAATTCGTTGGAGAATTCCGCAGAAGCAGTCACCAACACGATGACTAAAATAAATTGTTGAATGATGGATATTACACCCAAATTTCCACCTCACATGCTAAATTTTCCTTGATTTTTGCATTGATTGCAAATCAAGGGGATTCAGCAACTACTTCCGTTCAACAACTTTCTAAATCTACTATATTTGTTGACTGGGCTAAACCCAATGCTATCTTGAAAATAGAAAGTAATATGTGTATGTTAGAAGGCAAGAATAGTAAGCCAAATTAATTTGTGTGTCTGGTGTAACTGTTCCTTTAATCAACAGACCAAAAAATCTCTATTCTAACAACAGTACATCTGAATATTGTCCCAATGTATAAAATCTAGATGTCCAATCAGAAAACAACACAACTTGAGAAAAATATAACCTAGAGGTTTCTTTCAGTGATAACACTTCAATGTAGAACATCGAACAACAGACATTGAAATACACCAAAACATCCATATTAGATGAAGACGAGTTTTTAAATAAGAAAATTCTTATTAAACGTATAAGTATGCATGAAGACAACATACAAACTATCAAGTCCAAACACCAAACAAAATTCTTTCCTACCACAAATACTGAAACCACTGCTTTGAAAATGTAGCTCATTTATATTTTCAACAACGGTAATACATTGAATATATATGTATATAATCATTTTTTAAGTAATAACCACCATAAAGAAAACAAGACAAAATTAACATTTTTTTATAATGATTCAACATTTTACTCTACATAGAATATTACAGATTTTCTTTTTTAATGTCCAATAGAAAATAAATTTCTGAAAAAACCATACTCTAATCCTACAATCGTTGACTTACGAGTACTTCCAGACAACTACAACTATTATCGTTATATATTTTATTCGCTGTTTTGACATTTATGGCCCTTGAAAGTTTGCATACATGCATTTATGGACAAATTTCCTCAACTTGTACCGAGATAAAACCCTAATCTTTGATCACAAAACTATGAATGTGCTGTTACAACATTTAATACATATATTATACCTATTATACGCACATTTTATATCCAAAAAAACTTTTTTCTTTTTTTGGGGGGTTTTGTTTGTAATATATATGAGAAATCTGGCTTTTACATATACAAGTGTATTTCTAGCAATATTTAATGGACAATTTCTATCATTACAGAACACAGTTAAGGGATTAATTTACAATGAATTAATACATTTTCAAAAAAATCGAACCGACTACCGTATAAGTTTACTTTCAACTGCGTTGTATATTTGCATGCCAATGCAAATCTTTAATGGAACCATTTTTTTTTTTTTTTTTTTTTTTTTAAATAATGAAGATTGATTCCATACAAACCATTACAGTTTCCTGGCAGGTTCTGGTACCTAGGTATCCACTTGCACTACAAGAAATGCAATTTTTTTTTCAATTTTTAAATACTGAAAGGTCTTGTAAATGCAATAATTCATTTCAATTTTATTTTAACATTAATTAAATAGATTTGGATTTACACTAATCACAATAAACAGCAATTAGCAATTTTGAGCCAACAAACGCCATTAGGCCTGCACAATTTACAACTTATTATACCTAAAATACTCTTTCTCATTTCTTTTTTAAATAACAATTTTTAACACTGTTTCAGGTATATCATTTTCATGCCAAGTAGAAAACTAACAACAATTGGTATTTTAATTTTTAACCTTTTTTTTTAAATATATTCTTATTCATTAACACTTCTATTTAATAATCATCTTTTTTGGATGAGTCAACATTCATAAAAAAATAAATTGCTACTCCAAAATATCCCAACAATAGAATCTACTATTGTTTTTAAAAACTGCAGACAATTAACATAGCTTCCCCCCTTTTCTTTTTACAACCTCTAAAATCCTACCTCATTCTAATTGGTATTTGTGGCAGACATCTCATTACTCCTTTTGTTTCAGCAAAAATATGAAGGCCAACTTCAAAACACTCCTATAAAATCATAAAAACAAAAATGTGAAAAAATGATTATACTAATTATATTAATATAATTGATATTATATATATTGTTCTTATATATAAATATTAATTTTGATGTGTTTTTTTCTCTCTACCCATGTGTACATATGTGGAGCTAAATAAAACAGCAATTCATTTTGTTTTTTGATTATATTTTAAAATACACGATTAATACTTTTTCAGTCAAATAAATTTTCAATTAAATACAACTTTGTTTTGTTTTTTCCTCCTTACATTTACTTACTTCCATGGTAAAGAATAATATCCTAGGAATGTACTGTCAAATTTTGATGGGAATTGCTGCGACATAAAAGGAGGAAGAGTGATTCAAAATGATTTGAAATCTGATGCATAAGAGAAAATAGGCTGGGGTCACGTAGTGGCTGAAGCTATAGGCAGGAGAATGCATTTTAGCATCCGAAACATACAAAAAATAAAAAATAAAGTTTTTAATTAAAAGTTTTTTTGGGCGTCAGTGGTTTGGTCGACATGGCGCTCATCAATGTAGGATAAAAGTCCCGGGTTCGAATACAGCGGCCCTGCATTCAAACCCGACACTTACAAATGTTTTTTTTTTTTTTTTTCAAAAACACTGACATCCTGAGGGTTGATATGACCTCTACTGTTGCAAACCCTCGTTTAAAAAAAAAAGTTTTCGTGGTGTGTGAACAATATGTTGCTGTAAGGGTTGAATGTAATGTGCTGACACAACTCATCAATAAATTTAAATTATTAAAATATTTCAGCCTATGAAAAGTTTTGATAATATCTGTACTTTGTTAAGTGTAATAATTACCAATGATTGTGATAGGAGACAGCATGATGTAAGTTCGTCCTCAAATCTAAATCCACCCAAGTCAATTTCCAAAAAGCTGTGACAATCTATAACAAATTTTGGTTAGTTATAAATAAATGAGAAATGAATCCGTTGAATGAATTTGTGACTCACCATGAAAAAACTCGATGAGAAGAAATAAGCAGAAATTGTCATCCAACTTTCATAATTTATGCTTTAAATTTTTGCCCAATGTTGTCCAATCGAATGATAAAACCTGTTCTTTTTTTCCCCTATTTATATGTTTAATATTGTTTTTTCTTCTTCTTTTTCTCTAATAATGATCTCTGTAGTCATGCAGATTTTATATAAGTTTATATTTATACAATAAAGAACCAGGCAAAACAAGCGATTAAATTCAACTGCGAAGACAAGCATAAGTGCTTTTCAGTCACTATTTTGCGCAGACGATCTTGTTATAACAAAGTTTCCATCCTTTTGTTCTTTTCCAAGATTTCATTTTGTAGCTCGAGTACAATAACAATAAAACCGATTTGATGTCCTTTTATTTGCTTATTATCTTGTTGTTTACTAAATACATATTATAATATTATATCATATAAATTATGGCACATACAATAATTGAGAAAATGTTATTTCTCTTATTTTATTTTTGCAATAAAGAAGAAAAATAAAGCAACGTAACTGTTGCATGTTTAAAGCCCTCTGTACAAATATATCAGTAAATATTTTCACATTGTTCGATAAGGACCTTGCATTTTAAGATATTTAATGACGAAGGACGGTCCGTTTGTCACAATATCAGGCGGAATCTGTGAAAGAGGGCAATTGTCGATGCTCATGATCTGCAAATTGGAACAGAGGGCAAGTTCAAAAGGAAGATTGTGGAGATTCTGATTATCGTTAATATACAGTGATTCCAAATTTTCTAAAGTCCCAATCTCTTGTGGAAGATGGATTAAATTGTTTTCACCGACGCCGAGGTATGTGAGGTTGGACAGATGGCCGATGGCCCTAGGGAGGGTCTGCAGCTGATTCGACTGTAGGATCAGCTTCTGGAGATCACGCAAATAGCCTATCTCCATCGGAAGTTGGTCTATTTTGTTCTCTTCTAAGTCCAGAAGTCTGAGCTTTTTCAGGCTGACTATCGTTCCTGGAATCCTTCTTAGAAGGTTGTTCGATAATATCAGTACTTCGAGATTCACCAACTGCTGGATGTCATCTGGTATTTTTGTCAATTGGTTTGTGCCTAAATTCAATTCGACCATATTTTGCCAAGTGCCTAAGTCTAATGGAAGCGAGGTCAATATGTTCTCCTTCATATTCAGTTTTGTCAGATTTTTTGCCCTGGAAAATATGCCATATGGTATTTTGTCAATTTCGTTATGCTCCATGTTGAGAGAGTAGACGGTCATGAACTGGTGAGGTCCTCCACTGGGATAAGATGAAAAATTATTCCTAGAAAGCGTAATACTCGTTAATTCCAAAAGGCTAGACAAAAGACCATCAGGAAGTTGAGATAAGACGTTTCCTTCGACATTGAATTCATCCATATGTTTACAATTGCTAAGAGATTTTGGAATAGAGTTGAGCCTATTGTATCTCAGGCCCAATCTCATTAAAGCAGTCAAGTTTCCAATAGATTCTGGAATATCCAACAATTCATTGTGCTGTAAATCTAGCGTGGATAAATTAATACACTGTCCAATTTCCTCAGGTAAATGTTCCAAATGGTTATGCGAGACGTCAAAGGTCAAGAGATTTACCAGTTTGCCAATCCCAGGAGGTAACTCCTTTATTTTATTCTCTCTCAGGCTGAGCATCGTCAGATTGGTCAAATTCCTGATTTCCTCGCCGACTACTTTGATCCTGTTGAAACGAAGGAAAAGAGTGGTGAGAGAAGTGAGCCTGTACACTACGTCGGGTATCTCATTCAGCTTGTTATGCCTCAAATCGAGAACTTTCAACTGCTTCAAAGATACAAGAGATTCGGGGAGACTGGTGAGGGAGTTCTCGCTTAATGCCAAAACCTGCAAGTTCACCAAGCAGCCAATTTCATTCGGAAGGCTTGCCAGTTTGTTCCCGTAGAGATAGAACTCCACAAGATGAGTAAGGTCCCTAACCGTCTGTGGCAAATTGGTTATACTAGACTTGCTCAAATCCAGCCTCGTACCACCATCGTCCTTGCAACGAATGAACTCTTTCGCTATGTCCAAATCCGCCTGTATAGGCTTGTTTTTCTTGACAGTCGGCTTCGGTTTGTTCGACTCCGGGTGCTTGACTGTAACTACCTTCGGTTTAACCCCGTCGCCTCCGCTGAGGGAGGTCGACGACAACTTCTTCTCTTTCATGCTCTCTCTGGACTCTTTCAGGATGCTCACAGAGCAGGCTTGGTCGCCGACTTCTGGCATTTCTGGGGTGGAATTCATACCAACATCCTGGTGATCTTCGTGGTGACTCTGCGAGCTAAAAAAATTACCTGAGCCTTTGTAATCTGCGAGCCTTTCTGCAGCAATGTCACTTTCATTCGACTTCCCCTTTCCAGTCTTCTTCATCGTTCCTCTTTCCTCGACGCCCCTTTTCTGCACATCGTGTCTTCTATTTATTTAATCGTATCGTGTGAAAAAAAACCTAATCGTTCCGGGGGTAAAAATATATTTGGACTTAAAGACCGTCTAACACGGAGGACGCATATCCGCTTAGATAAAAGCAAGGCTAAGACAGGACTTCTAAAACCAACCACTCAGTCATAGGGCTGAAGGGCGGGGTTGCTTCCACAAAGTCCTTAATTTATTTTATAAACACCAATTATTAACAACTCCCAGACAAAGAAATAAATCCAGTTTAAAGATAAAATCATGTTATTTAAAACAATTCCACCACAAATAGAAAAAATGAGCATTTCTTTCTAATCATCCCAAGCATACAAAAGTCCTTACATTTATAATGTACAAGTAATCAAAATATAACTTTATTTATGAAAACAAAATTTATTCTTTATTTTACGTTTGAAAGGAGTGTTTAATTTGAGACGATATTTGACAATGATGGAAAGTCTTGTGATTAGACTTTGAAGTTCCCGCAAATATTTAAAACCACTCAACCTTAAAATGGATTTGCAAAATACACAAATAAAAAGTTTAAATTTTTAAATTTAGCCTTATTTTTACTCATAGCATGAATAAAATGTGACATATACCAAAAAAAGCAATAATTTTTAGATTATTTTTGTCTGAAAATTTCTTTTACTGATCCTTCTTGTCTTACTAGTTGTAGATTTAGGTTTTAGTTGGTGTAGTTAACTTGTTCTTTTGTTATTTAAATTGTAAATTTTAATTTTTTTAAATTAATTTTGTAGTTTATAATTATGAAGAAAGTTTTCTTCCTTCTCTAGGATAAAAATTGGCCACTATAAATTTTTTTCGAGTGTATAGGAAGAATAGGAAAGGTCTGGATGAAAAACAAATTCAATTATCTTTCGACAACAAGCTTTCGACCTATTTTATGGTCATCATCTGGACAATACAATCTTAAAAGTTGCTTACAAATTGACGTAATTGAGTTAACAAAATAACATCACGTTTATCTCTCCTAGAAGCTTTGCATTCTCTCCTATTTCAATTGCAAAGGAAACATATTGACTCAATCCACTTTAAAATTGCAATTTTCCAGATTTCCACCACTTATTTATTTATTTATTTTTACATCTGCATTCATTTGATACAATAAGCAAAACAGATCAAACATTACATCATTAATGTGTGCGGCAATCATCCATGATGAGTTCATTCTATGAAGGCGAAGAATGGTTGTCGTGGGGCCACCGACACTTCAGTCTCTTGCGGAGATTATTTGGCAAGGTAGTAGATTACAGGTTTTTGACAAAGGGATTAGAATGATAAGGTAGTTTAGCATGGAACTTTTTGTAGTGGTATTGGGCCAGGTTTGAGACAAATGAAACATTAGGTTAGTATGGATGGTTCCTCCATTGTCCAGAGAATTTTAGAGACTTATTAAATGAGGAGATCAAACTGTTGAACAATATTAGAAAAGGGACCGGATTAATGATGTAAAAGTATTATTAAAATGAGTTGATTTTTGAATTCTCTACAAGTTCTAATAATAAAGCTTAGTTGTTATTAGTTATAATAATAAAATAGCTATAGCTTTATTATGAAGGAAATATATATGACATGAAGAGGGTAAGCAATCATTAAAGATTATATCTAGATCAGTAATGATTGAGGACTTTTTCAATACCTGGTTATTGTTTTTTGAGGTGGTTAAAGTTTTTTGAGCAAGAGAATCTAATATATGAACGTTTATTTATATTGATTTTTAAACCATTATCAGCACACAACAGACTAAAATGAGTTCTTGAAGTATGTGCATGTTATTAATAGATTTAATTGAGCGATAGATTTTTGTATCGTCTGCAAGGAGTAAAAAATTCACATAAGAATAAAAACATCTGCAATATCGTTTACATGACAAAAAATAAAGGACTGGCGTGCGCCCCGTGCCTCACCACTGGCAACTTCAAATTCTTTAGAGTATGAATTGTTTATAACGACTAATAAGTATCTATCTCTTAAATAGCTTTGAATCCATGACAAGGAAGGTTGCCCCATAAAACATCAATTTAGAGACAAAACATTAACTAGATCAAAAACTTTGGCCATGTTCATGTTGTCTGTGTCAACTTGAGTTTTTGTTTCTAAATTGGTATAAAAAAAATCAGAGTAAACTACTAAGGTGAAGATGATACTAGGAAGCGGAGTTTGTGCTCCCCAGGCACTGCAGCCTTCTGGCTTATTGTCCTTTCTAGTTCCCTAGTTCAGTGCAATTGGCTCAATCCTTCTTCTCAGATCAATTCTTCTGTCATGAGAAGAATGATGTTTTCTGTATGCTAGGTTAAATCTCCATTGAGCCGTTGCTTTACATTCAAAGATGATATGGGTGGCTATTTCCTCTTCCTCATTGCATAATCTGGGATAAGAACATCATTATATATGCCCATGTTGTGTATATGGTTTCTCAGATGCCAGTGACTGGTTAACAGTCTTATCACTCTTCTGAGCCTAGCCCTCTTCAACTGCAGCAGTGAGTTTGCCAGTCTTGGTGAGGGCTGTTTTAACATCATTTGACTATGACTAACGCTGCTAGTTTATCCACTTCTCCTTTTGTTTTTGGATTCATTCTGTGATGGAGGATTCTATATTTGTTTTTGTGGTCCCAAGTATAGGTTCGGGTCCTATGTATGGTCTTGCAGATCCTCCTCTCGCTAGACTGTCTGCTTTCTTATTACCCAAAATTCCCCTGTGCCCTGGCACCCAAGATATCATCATATTTTTTGTTTCCCCAGGTTTTGGAGATTTTGGATGTATTCACTGACTAATTTTGATGTTATTCTTTTACATGCTAATGCCTAAATGGCTTCTTGGACTTTTTGCCAGTGTAACCTCTTTTAAGATTTTCCAGGGCGCAATCATTGATGGCATGTATTTCTGCTTGAAACACCGAAGTGTACTTCCCTAATGAGTTTGATTGTCCATGCTTGTACAGAAAACTCCCGATCCGGTTCCTTTATTTGTTTTGGAGCCATCTGTGTACCATATCATTGTATCTGATGCTCTCCTGTATTCTTCCTCTCCATTATAGTCTGTTGAGACTTTATAGGATATTGTAAAGAATGTTTCTAGGATTGTGTAGTCAGTTCCCATTTCTAAAAATGGGTGTTTGATTTTATTAGTTATGGCTGTGCGCCTGAATTGTTTAGATCCTATCCAATTTGATTATTTTTTGAGCCTAAATCAACTTTTACTAGCCTCTCCTTCTATAAATGTTTCCAGTGGAGGTAGGTTTAGCAGAGTTTCTAGTACACTTGTAGGGGTGATTCTCATTGCCCACGTAAACTGCTAAGTTAGTTTCAGTTGTTAAAAGGTGATGATGTTTTTGACGAATAGGGATGTATAATCATGAACTAGGCTTTCAAATAGTTTAAGACTAGAGGAAAGTTTAGCGATATTATGGTAATTTTCAATATTAGATTTGTCTTTGTTTTTATAAATAGGAATTGAAGGGAAATTCCCAGTAGCTAATGAGGTGTTAAATAGATGAGTCAAAGGAAGAACTAAGCCTTCAAGAGTCAAAGGAAGAAGTAAGCATTCAGCACAAAGTTTGTAATCTATTTAAATTCAACTTTTTAGTATTGTTTTATGATTGGCAGGGTTTACCAAATTCAACTGGTTAGTTTATAAAATAAGGAGACTATAGCAGAAGATAGACAATTGTAAAAGAAAGGCTACAAATTTGTAATCTGGCGCATCCTTTTAAAAAGTCTGCCACGACCTCGGCGCAGAGTGACGAAACCCGAATGGGCGTGTTTAGACTTTCCAACAGACTTACGAAGTTACGATCAATATCGAGAAAGACACGGCCAAGCCAAGTTGCTAGTTTGTTGGAAAGGAAAAACGTTCCGTCTCCCCTGAAAACAAAGAAAAAAGTACTTTTCCAAGATGGGGGGGCTTTTCCGAAGCGAGGAAATGACTCTGTGCCAGTTATTTCTTCAGAGCGAAGCCGCGTACGCTTGCGTTTCCGAGCTGGGCGAACTCGGCCTCGTACAATTTAGAGACGTAAGTTTTAATTTTCTGTAAAAATAAATAAATAAAACGATAATTACGTTGACTGAACTGCCTGCCAATTAATTTCTCGATCTGTACAACTCGTCCTTCTTACTTTTCCAGCTGAATCCAGACGTGAACGCCTTCCAGAGAAAGTTCGTGAACGAGGTGCGACGCTGCGATGAGATGGAAAGGAAACTTCGCTACCTGGAAAAGGAGATTAAGAAGGACATGATACCGATGCTCGACACCGGTGAGAATCCGGAAGCACCGCAGCCCAGGGAGATGATCAATCTCGAGGTGACGCTCTAGAACCGCTTGATTTGCATGAAAAAAAAAATCTAAGCTTACACAGAACTGGACATTCCTCTAGATTTATTTGTATCGCAATTTGACCACGTTGAATAGACAATGTTGAAAAATGCAGAAGTTTGACAGTACCAGTTCACCCTTTTTCAAGAGCTTGTAACGTAAGGCTGCAAGGCAAAATTTGACCTATTCATTTTGAATACTTTATGCATGATCTGCCTTTCGGTGAAATTCTTACATTTTTTTAATATTTCCACTATTCCAGTATTTAAGCTTCTAACATAACTATGCAGTAATTTAATGTACTGACTTACATTTTTATCAAAAATGTAGATTGTACATTTTTCTTATTTATTAAAACAATACATATATTTCATACATACAAAATCGTGTTTCTGGGGCAAGCGGGTCAGCACTTTCTAAGCCAGCGGATGAAAGTGAAGCTGAAATTTGATCGTACAAGCAGTAGTACAAATCTGGGATAAATAACGATAAAAACAAACCCTGGCTTTCACCTAACGATTATTTATTATCGAATAATTTCAGGTAGAGGTGAAATACTATAAATATAATGTTAGTAATGCCTTTTCCCCTCCATCGAAACAAGTATGTCATGATCCACCATTATTGTACATGTACATGCATCTAAAAAACCCTATAAAAAGATAACCCATACACAAGATACACATAAATAGTACATATGAATATTCATATGCAATAGCCTATTGAGTATAATTAACGAATAAAATGACAAGTAAAGAGAATTGTTTATCCCTTTGGGAGCATAGAGGAGAAATTGAAGAAGTTGATAAAAACTAGTCAAGTTTACTAAGTTTCAAAACTGCCATAAAAGCCGAAAGGATCAAGTTAAAGGATGATACACCTATAAAATGAAACCAGAAGTTCAATGTCTATGATCATCCTGGTAAAAGAATTCTCATGTATATTTGTATTCAAGCCATTTTGAGCAGTTTGAATAATTTATCTTTACAATTGTTTAGATTTCTGGCTTTCGGGTTTCAGTTCCCAAGCATGTACATGGTCCTTGAAAGCCAACCTTGGCCGATCGGGACCATGAATGAAATATAAAATACAAATTTTCTAAAATCCTTGGATATCACAGTTTTTCAAAATGTGGCTTGTTTATTTTGTAAAATATTCGTTTTGTAATTTGTTCAAGACTGTGTGAATTTGCATTAAACCTGTTCAAAGTTCATCTTTTGTTCTGTCTTATGTAATTATTAATCTAGTTTGTTTTTTTTATATCCAATTTGAAAACTGATTAATGTCTGTTTGTCATGACAGGCGTATTTACTGAAAAATCTAATTGAATTTAACTCAGTACCAAAAGTTTACCCTGTGTATATTTTTATCTGAAGTGAAAGTTATTTTCTGCCAATTGGGCAAAGATAATTTCTACAAGAGCAATTAAACTTTTCTAATTTTTTGTGTTTATATTTGAACTTTGTTAGTTCTAATGATTGTTGATTCAGCTAATAATTAATTTAATTAATTATTTTGACTAATATAATAAGGTTTTTCTTTATCCTTGTTACTTTCATGGACAATTTTTTACTCAGTCAATGTAAAAAGGTGCATTGAAATAACTAAATTACTATTGCTATGGTAACGTTTCTGCAATTTATGCTGTAATCATGCACAATTTTTAATTTTTTTAATACCTTTTTAACTTTTTAAATTTTTTTAAATACATACAAATTAAACAATATGTAAGATGCCTCCTGCCGCAGAAGTTACACTCTCAACAGCTGAATAATTTCAAGCCCCAACAATTAGGCTTTTAATTCTGAATACACTCACACTCTCATATATATTTCCTTATTATCCTTAAATACATTTTCCTGTTTATATACCATTATATTATTATTATTCTTATTATATTATCATTAGTTATGGTGTTGAAGTATTCGATATTCCTCCATCACCCTTTACTCGGCTGATCTTCACTAATTTAATTGAGGGTCGACACTGCATTCCCCCATTGGCCTCTTACGCTACACATTCACACTAATAAATACATTCACTCTCACTATACTCAAAAGGGAACACAAAACGAGATATCTAATTTACAAAACTGTGGAATTTAAAATGAAGATTGTCAGTACATTCAATATGTAAGCCTGAAATTTAGTTTATTTCAACTTCACCAATGAAGAAGCATTCTTTTCGGATTTTGGCATACTTCAATTTTTAGTACTGCATTAGTTGAGTGGTTAGCGTGTCTGACTAGGGTTCGATTCCCACCATCGCCCTTGGAATTTTCTTTCGCACTCTCCCTATCTCCCAAAAATATATGTGCAATTAACTACTCTGTTCTGACTAATATGGGAATCATAAAGCCATTAAAAAAATAAATAAATACTTTTTATGAATCCTTGTGTTTTCATTAGGAGATCATGCTCAAAACAATCTAGTGAAAATTACATATATTAAACAGTCAACGTTTTAGTTTTCTAGAAGTTTATTTTCCAGAAAAGCTTTTAATTTTTTATTCACCTTTAAAGAAAAAACTTATTTATTTATTTTTTTGTTATTTTCTACTTTTCTACAACGGTTCGCAACAGCAGAGGTCATATCAATCCTGGGTGGGGGGCAGTTGTTTTTTTTTTTATTTTTTTCTTTAAAGGATGTCGGGTTCGAATGCAGGGCTTCTGGGGGGGGGGGACTTTGTTATGTCTATGGTGATGTTAAACTGTTGTCACTGCATTTAACCCTGTTCCACATGTCCTTTTTCATCGCTTTTAGACACATAGGCAAAAGTAACAAGTAATTCGCAAGGCTGATCTTGGCAAGTTTATGATTTTTATGAGTTAAACCCTGGTTATAAAATTTAAAAAAAGGAAGGGGATGAAAGAATCATAAAAAAATTTCTTAATTTTGTTTGATAACCTTTTGTGTTAAATTGTTTCCTCCTTCCATTTGCGAAGGCATTGTCAACTCAATAAATGAATAATTTTTATTATAAGGGATTATATCTGCAAGGTTGGACCTGCTGTACAGTCCTTGACCGGATATCTGTCCAAATATGTACCCGTTTTTTAAATTTTTGTCAAAATGTTGCAATCATATGCTAAACTACGCTTTATCTCAATTTAATTTTATGGTATTTACACAGTTTATAACAACTTGGCCCTTTGCAAAAATAAATTTGTGGCAAATCCAAGGCAAATAGGTTTTTTCTTAATTGATTTTTTTAATATTATTATTATTTAATTTTAATTAAATTTAAAATATTTCTGAATTAATGTAATGCTTTTGCTTTAAATAGACCACAGACCAAATTGTCAATCATATTAGCCTTAATATTTATTTTTTAATGGATTATCTCTCAATAGATCATACATTTTTGTACTTTAAATCTTCAAATTTTATGAATTGTCATTTTTAAAAGTGATTTTAAATTCCCAATATGTCATGAACATTCCCAGAAACATCTCATGCGACATTCATTTTGTTGTTGACATCGTCCCGAATTGACATTTCTTCATTTCCAGGCCTAAACCCCCTTAGGAACTTTTATTATAACTTCCTTTTATCTTAAAAACGTTTACGGTGTTTATACAATATATAGCACCCACTTAGTAGGCCTGTAGAAACGATTGCGCACTTTTAACACAATGGCTAATTGTAAAGATGGATTATAAATATATTTCTAATCACTTATGACATAAGAGGCCTAAATCCATTTGTTTAATCTTCATTTAACGGTATTGTTTATTTGTTTTCCTAAATTTCAATCACAAGTGTAATGAACCACTTATTCATGGATTTTTATTATAATTAGCAAAAAAGAGATTTATATTGGGGAAGCAATACACAGACAAATCCATATCAATTTTGATAATTACTATCATTAACATGATATTTATATGTCATCAGCTTAAATAAATAATTGTTTAAATATTATTTGTACACAAGGATAGCCGCTATTGCTAATCTTGTAATGCCTTACTAATTTTTCCAATTTTTTTATGATCATTAAAAACGTCTGCTTGTCTACAGACCTCATTTTTTTAAAATAATCCTCATTATACTTCTTTTAAAGTAGATGTAAGTAAGGAGACATGCTTCTTAGCCCATTCCTTTCCTTTCTTCTGTAATCTTGTTTTGTTGATGGTAAATTCAGATTCATAACCAGTCAAAATATCCACTATCATCTCATAGTACTGGAGGTAAAGTTACTATTCAATTCTAGAAATTGAGAACTGAATTTTAAGGAGAAACTACAAGAAAAGAACATGGGTGGAATCCGTCCTCTATTGCTCCTGGTTCGCTGAACATGAAACGAACTATACTTTCATTGTCCTTCAATACTTAATTGTCAATTCTTCCTTTTATGAGCCCAGTCATGCTTAGCAATCTCATTTGGTCTTGAACAAATGAAATTCTGTCATAAATAATTAAAATAGATACAAGTAAAACAGTGCATATGGAGCTGGGTAACTTCCAGAAACACTGTACTTGTAATTTTAATAATTAAACAAATAAAAATTTTAATCTTTTGATGTGAGAAAGTTGTAAAAGTTTCTAGGAAAACTGTTATAGTTCAATTATTTGCCAACAGTGTTTTGAATATAAGTTTATACATTGTTAATAACCCAAAGAAAAATTGGTTATAGGCTACGTTTGAGAAGCTTGAGAACGAGCTACGGGAAGTTAATCAGAATGCGGAGGCCCTGAAGAAAAATTTCTTGGAATTGACCGAATTGAAACACATTTTGAGAAAGACGCAAGTATTTTTCGATGAGGTAAGAACTTGAGATTTTGACATAGATTTAGGCCAGTATTTTTGTCAGATGGCAGAATCAATTAATTTCCACTAGTTGACAAAAGTGTTATTTTCCATTGTTATGTCATAGTTTTTGATATCTAATGTCAGTAGGTGTTTTATTAAATAATTTAAACTGTTGTGCACTGTTTTATTTGTACTAATTATCAAAACTCAGTTTAAAGAGGTAAGAAATATTGAAATTTAATACAATATTTTATCCATTGATGTATTAAGTTTATTAAGAAGTTTCAGCTCTGAGTATTGGCAGAAAACTATCACCACATCTCTTCTACCCTTTGTTCGGAATTAACCAAACAAATTACATTGAGTAACAATTTTAATTAAAGAAGTGAATTTCATTTTTTATTAGATGAATTTTGCTTTTGCATTGTCTTTAATTCATAGATACTTTGGTGAAGGATTATTTTGGCATTTCTCTTCTCTTTTTTTTTTTCTTTAAAAAATTATTAATTTACAGAATTGTTGCATTTTATTAGTTAATTTTCTAGTCTTTGTTTTCAGCTGAGGTGTGGTGCTGCTTGTATTAACTTTATTTTTAGTAAGCATGATGTTTATTACTTACCAACAAATGGTGTTTTGGTCTAATATTTATATATATGCCATTATTATTATTATTATTATTTATAGTTTTATTTTGTGTGTATTTTGTTACAATGTATTTTAACATTTTTGTATCCAGGTGTCTACCACATTTTTATTTATGTGTTCAGACATCGCTGCCCTTTTCCAGTTCCTAATTCCTCCGTTAATAACAAACAGTTCCAAGTTCTAACTCACAAAAATTATTCTCTATGTTTACCTCTATTTGTTGCTTTCATAATTGAGATAAAATGAAGCTTACAACAGTTTTTCTTCAATTCAAAGCCCAGATGTAAAGCTGCACTTTTGTTCTATACTTGTGTATTTGTGATACCCCTTATTTTTATTTTTTATTAATGAACTGGCTTTTTATTTATTCATTATAATTTTGTTTTTTACTTCCTTTTCTTTTAATGATAATATTAGTGTTTTTTCCTAAATGGTTTAAATCAGAGCCATGTGCAATGTGCTTGAGATCATTAAGTAATAACTGTTATACAAGAGGGCTTAACGTCCAATTTCCTGTTGAGTGTAACAGACGAGTGGTTAAACCATTTTACAGTACTTTCAAACAATTTTTGTTTAAAATTGTTCTAACGAAGAACGGATTTATAGAAAAAGTGGTTTACAATTTTTCCTTAACAATTATTTTTATTTTCATATTACTCGAACCAATCAAGTCTCCTGCCTTTCTCTTCCAAGTGTAATAGTTTTACATCATCTTTAGGATCAATTTTATGGCCTGTGTTACAAATCCATGGGCTGTGCCATGATTCGAACACAAATTTATTATCACAGTAATTATGATGAAAACGATGGTATGGGCCTCGTAGACAAACAAATTTGTAGAAATGGTGTAGGGCTGCTGAATGTATTAAATCATTAATAACAAACTAATTATCACTATATTTTCTCCAGACTGGTTTTGACTATCTTTAATCATCTTCGGCAAAATTTTGTAATTAAATAAAGACAACAAATCTCAATTACAATAATTTAATTGAACAAAATAATTTTACAAGTCAATTACGGATTAAAACCAGGTGCAACTTGTATTTAACTTTAAACGTGTAAGGATGTAGTTTATTGTGTAATACTTACAGTAGTAAATATAATCCAACTGCAATGTTTAAGGTAACTAGACAATATGATCCATTAATAAATTAAAATAAATAATAAACATAAACCCAGTAATCACTTTAATGTATTTAACTTACACAGCTTAGTCACTTTAAATGTAATCCCTGATACAAACTAGATTTCAAATTGCTTTTACAGTCACTACCGTTTGGGGGGGCGATGAAGGTGAAGGAACTCAAACTGATAAGAACTATACCTTAGAATCAAAGGTAACATTAATCAGTTAAATCCTGTTTTCTCTCCCTGTGATACCTCCGTTGATCTATTAATCAATAGATCTAAAATGAGCGGAAACTCGAATGATGTAACAGGTTCACAATTTTTCCTTAACATTGTTTCATATTACTCGAAACAATCAAGCCTACTGCTTTTCTCTTCCAAGTGTAACAGTTTTACATCTTCTTTAGGGCCAATTTTATGATCTGTGTTAATTGCCTAGTTGTTTTTAAGTCCATTAGCGTGACAAATATGATACAAATGCCGTAATCATTCGGCCACCGTGGGTCCCCACTTGAGTTCGTTAAAGCGTCCAATTTTTGAGCAAATATGATAAAATCAGCAGACCCCCATGTACATACCCAAAGGGTTTTTGAATGTAACCCTCCTATACGACAGAAATTACTTTTTTTAAATGCCAATTTTCATAAAACTGAAAATCCAGATAGTGGCCTTGTAAATTAAAAATTAAAAAAAATAAAAGAAAAGAAAAACTATTATGATTAAAGGATTGGAGAACAAAATTATTAATAAATTATGGAACTTGGTGGAATGACTAGAATTAAATGTCAACACAGCATAATTTAAAAGCAGTTTTTCAACATTTATATGCTATATTGTAAAAAGAATAAAAATAAACCGTTTGAGTAAAGTTCAAGGTTATAATGAATATTTGTAAATATGCCAAAGTCCTTTTCTAATTATTTCATTTTAAAATATTCTTATTAAGAAGAATTCAAAGCTATACATTAAACAATAAATTGTATATATTTATCGCAAATTGGTCATCTATTGGCCACTTAAATTAAGCTTTTTCTTACTGTCAAGATTATTAAAATTTAAATATCCAATAATTACTTTTGTCCTTTTGGCTACATTTATTTATATGTAAGCTTATTGCAATTAAAATATTTATTTTTTAATTAAAAAAAGGAAAACATTTCTTTCCCAAATCCTATTCCTTTTCCAAAGATTGAACCCTCCAACCAATCCTTGAGACTCCTTGACAGATGTGGTGTTGTATTTGCCAGACACAGGGTCATCACAGTCATATGAACTACGTGCAGATGTCAGATCCGAAGAGAGAAGAGGAGCAGACCCTGCTAGGCGACGAATGGCTCAAGTCTGGAGGCCAAGTGCTAAAGCTAGGGTAAACAACAAATCAAGAGCCTAGACACCCGGAGGACTCTTTTCGATTATGCATTCGCCGTTTGTTCATTCTTAATTTGAAGGCATAAGAATTCTCAAAGAGTCTGACAGGGTTACTGATAATTTGCTTGGTGTTGGGCATTTTTTGAAAAATATTTATTTTTTTAAATGTTTTATGCACTGGCCATGGGTTTATAAGCTGCTTTTTCTGGCTTTTTTCTTCATTTGCTTTTACATTATTTATTTTTAAATTAACTTTGCATGCACTTCTAAGAATTTTGTCAAATAACACACCTTAACATTAAATTGCATTTAAGGATTTAAAAACAGCTTCACAAATATTGACTAGAAAACAAACCTTGTGATTTGGAAATGTATGAAAATATACAATCGTATAAAGTTATTTGTTTCATTAATTTTTAAACATTTATTATTTGAAGAATTGAAGAACATTTTTGGATTCTCAATTCTTCAATTTTTATTCAATTTATTAAACAATTTTATAACCAGCTAATCAATAAAATTGGATCGATAAAGTAAATGCAAAAATAAACTTTTTTAAACCAACAGTAATGAACTTTGTTTCCTATGTTTTAAACTTTGTAACTATCATTTGCCATTATTGATATCCCCTGTCATTAATTTACAATCTAGTAAGGAATATTGACATATAAATTTTATTTTTAAAGTTAATAATGTAGACTATTTGTGTGCTATTAAACACATTTTTGTTTGCTTTTTATGTTGTAGTTAAGCTTTGTTATTAAGTTTTAGTTTATTACTTTTCGCTAAATGTCTTTGTGGATATTTTGATAATAATTTTTTTTACGTCTTTCAGAAACTGTAATAATAGCCTATAATTTTATTTACACACAAATTAAATCAATTATTTCTATATAACACATAGTACATATTTTACCTTATTTTTTACAATCCTTTTGATAACTAAGGTTGATTTTTGTTTATTTATGCATGGGTATGTTGTTTTTTATTTTAATATTTATAATAGTTATGGATCATAGCTGACTTCAATACATACATATAAAATGTCATTCACTTCTTGATTATGTTGTGCCCATGAAATTTGCAGGAAATATTCCCATTAATTGACCGATTCTGTTTATCAATTTAAACAGTGCACAATTCAAGGCATTTCAGTATTACTTTTATTGGGTACATTGTTAAAATTATTGCACTAAAAAGAAGAAAAAAGGTTTTAACATCGCTTTGATTTGCTTTGTGTGCTAAAATGTTTTTGTCTTGTCCGATGCCTTTTGACGAAAAGGCAAGTAAGAAAGATTGAAAAAAAAAATCATCCATTGAATAACTAAAAGTACTGAAGATGATTGTCAACACACTATAAAATTACATTTTAAGTAATTTGACGTTTGTTGACGGTCTTCAAAAATGTGTTATGTCTATGAGCATTAAAAAAAAAAAAAGTCTTGTCGATTGTGTTTATAGCTAAACACGTCAGTGGGTGAAGGAATTTTTTTTGTTAGATGTTCTTTGTACATGTTTGTGATGGTGTGGGTGTGGGATTTACAGCAGGAGGGAGGTCTCAATTCGACCGAGTCTATGACTAGAGCTTTGATCAGCGATGATTCCATTGTGAGACAGACGAATGCCGGACCAGTACAACTGGGGTATGTACAAACAATAAAAAGACAAGGGATAAAAGGAAAACGGAGTAATTAAAAAATGATAAACTCTCAGTTGCATGAAAATTTTAATTTTTTTCTTTCTTCCTTTTATTTATAAACCCAACATTAAAATTTATCTGCATGTTTCTTTACTTTTCTTTTCTTTTTAAAGGCATGTTTATATAAATACTTAAAACATGGACTAGCTACATCTGCCATAACACAACCAAACCATTTTTCCATCAATATAAATAAAAAAATTATAGATTTTGTTCTTAAAACTAACACTATTAAATGGCAATAAAATAATTTTGTTATATTGATGGGTTTTCAATAAAAATTAGTCAGTCGGATTTTTTAATTTTTTATTAATTAATCTTAACTGTTTAACTTGGTCAATTAAAGTTTGAATTTGAAAAATTGACCTTATTTTAATTAGGGTGGTTTACACCTCTGGTTCCTCCACTCGACCTTCTAATAAATCAGTCAGTTGCGATGTTTACTTACAAAAAGTCTACTCTCGGCCAGAAATTTCCTATAGCCAGTTTTGGTGACTTGAAAGCCCAATTATGGCTGTAAATCCACATTCAATTTTTAATTTAAACATTCTCATTACATGTATTAGTCATTAGGGAAAGTTTGTTAAAATAATATAAAGTATTAATTTGGAAATTATATGAAATGTTGATATTTCACAAGTAAAAGAAATACGGTGAATCTTAGTTATACATTTATTACATGCCCTGGTTATAATGGTTATATTTTTTCTACTGTTTTGTTGTAGATCCCCATACATTTTTGCGTGTAGTCTTTTTGCCTCTTGTTCAGAATGTGCACTTCTTTATTCTGCAATATCTTTTTTTAAATCTTGCAAGAAGAGGTTAGATGGTATGTAAAGTTTATGCTTTCTTCTTATCTTCCGTTTTAAAAATGTTCTGTGATACAGTAAATTATTATCCAATAGAAGGGTTCAGCCCCTGCCAGCAGTGTGGTTGTTAATAATGTTTTCATGTATATGGATTTTCATAACGTTTAACTAAAGAAATCCGCATTTTTCCATTGTTCGGATTCGATGGACATCAGTATTTTATTTATTTTAATTATCTTTAATTTAGAGAAAATTCTGACACCAAATTTGAAACCTTGGACTTACAAATGTGTTAGTTTTATTTATATACAATTGGTCATTTCTTATCTCGCTTTGGACTCATTTTGCTGAGACTAATTTGCAGTGTTCTTCAAGCCTCTTTAAGATAAATATTTTTTTTTTAATTCTTACTCAGAAAATAATTAATATATCATAATATTTTCCTTTTAAATTTTACAGATTAATTATTAATTAATACTTTGGTTAACCTTTGAGGCATGCTAAATATACTGCTTTTGTCTTTGTATTCACACTGTTTTATTTGCATGTGTCTGAGAAAAAACACTGATATTTGTGTTTGTTTTAAGTAATAAGGCTTGTAAGTGGATTTTGTATTCAATTTTTTTTATTTAATTTAAATTAATAAAACTTACATAAACTGGTTTGAATTGTTCGTAATACTATTAATTTCATCTTTTTTTCATCTAAGAGTTTTTAACCGCTAAAATAATAATGTTCTGCTGTACTTAAGAATTATCATGGACTGCACTGTTTTATTGTAGATGTATGCATACAATTATTAACTAACAAATGATTTCCTTTTATCTAAAGGTAAAAAAGGGTATGAATTCTCTTTTATTTTATTATGTCAAATGTTGCAACTATGGTATGTTTATGATAACCGTTTGGTCTGAATTTTATTAGTTTAAAAATTGAATTTTTAAATCTCTTCAGGTGAGTTGGTTTATAACTAATGAGTGAATAAGGATAGAAAAACTGCTTAGAAATATCTATCATGGTTATTTAAGGAGAGACTTTTTTTTAAGCAGTTTTTAAATTATCTTTTGTGACAATTAAAAAAAATTGCATTAATTTTGGATGTGGATTGGTTTGTAGCGAAAAGTTGAAATTTCACAAATCAAACTCTGGAAGTTTGCACTTTTTTTTTTTTTTTTTTTTTTTTTTTTTTTTTTTTTTTTTTTTTTTTTTTTTTTTTTTTTTTTTTTTTGGGCAAACATCTAGAGAAAACTTCTGGTAAGTCTAGCTTGAAAATGTTACGTTAATTTTTGTTAAATAAAATGACAATTACTATTTTATGATCACTTTAATGGTTTATAATTTAAAATAAATTGTTTAAAGTTAATACATTTTATAATATTTAGTAGCAATCACTCTAGTAATTGAGCTATAATAATGCTATAATAAGCATTATAAATATATTATATGTGTCTGGGGTATTATTATCAGTTAATTTCACAGAATATTTAATAATAAAAAACAAACAAAAAAGCAGTAGGATTTGCACAAATTTCTTAATTGCCATTTTACCAGAAGCTTATGGACAATGTTCCCCTCTCATTTTTACTGTAACATTTGCTTATGTCGCATATTTTTTCTTTTGTCATGCTTTCACTTTGAAAAATTGGCAGTTCCGAATTGGAGGGAGCGAGAAAATTGATGATGAGGTGAGCTCTTGCACTTAATAAATTATTCATCATTGACAGTTTTGTTCTTGAGTTGTCAAAGCGATCGAGGCATGAGTTTTGTAGAAATTTGCTGAAAAAGCAGCTTGGCTTACATGGCCTTTTTTGGGAGGGATTTGCTTGCTTTTTCTTCAATTCTGATTTTACAATTGAAAATTTAAACAAACGTTTTTTCCCATGTAGATTTGTCGCAGGCGTCATATTGAGAGAGAGGATTCCAGCTTTTGAGAGAATGTTATGGAGAGCCTGTAGAGGAAATGTGTTCCTTAGACAGGCAGAAATCGAAACTCCTCTTGAAGACCCATCAACTGTATATGCTCTTAATTTTCTGATAGAAAAAATCGCAATTTCATGGCTTTTCTTTCACAGGGAGATGAAGTTTTTAAATCTGTTTTCATCATATTCTTCCAAGGCGACCAGTTAAAAACACGCGTCAAAAAGATATGCGAAGGGTTCAGAGCTACGCTTTACCCTTGTCCTGAAGCTCCAGCAGACAGACGGGAGATGGCCTTGGGTGTTATGACCCGTATTGAAGACCTCAATACAGTTTTGAGCCAGACGCAAGACCATCGTCACAGAGTATTAGTTGCTGCAGCTAAAAATATTAAAAACTGGTTTGTCAAAGTTCGCAAAATCAAAGCGATTTATCACACTTTGAACCTTTTCAACCTTGATGTCACTCAGAAGTGTCTTATTGCTGAATGCTGGGTGCCTGTGCTTGATATCGAGGCAATTCAATTTGCCTTAAGAAGAGGAACTGTATGTACAATTCAAATCAACTATAAATTACCTTTCAATTTGTTTTATGTAATTATTCGATGAACCAGGAGCGGAGTGGAAGTTCAGTTCCACCGATTTTAAACCGAATGGACACTTTTGAAGATCCTCCGACTTATAACAGGACAAATAAATTCACAAGCGGTTTTCAAGCGTTGATAGATGGATATGGAGTTGCAAGTTACCGTGAAATCAATCCAAGTAGATTCAGTAGTAAAACTTCTTAAATGATTGATTTTTAAAAATATAAATTTTTCAGCACCTTACACTATCATAACATTTCCATTCTTATTTGCTGTTATGTTCGGTGATCTTGGCCATGGTGCGCTCATGAGCATTTTTGCTGCCTGGATGGTGTTGAAAGAAAAACCCCTTCAAGCGAAAAAGAGTGATAATGAGGTTATTTTCATATAGTTAGAAAACATTATTACTATAATTTTTTTTAACATGTACTTGATTTTATTTTGTTTTGTTAAGATCTGGAACATCCTTTTTGCCGGACGTTACATCATATTGATTATGGGCTTCTTCTCTATGTACACTGGGTTTATTTACAATGACATTTTTTCTAAATCAATAAACATATTTTCATCACATTGGGTTATAAATTACAACAAATCGACTGTGATAAACAACACGTACTTACAGTTGGATCCCAGCTCAGATGATTATGTTTCAACACCGTATCCCATTGGTATTGACCCAGTTTGGCAGGTAATATAAATAATTTATTTATAAGCAATTTCAACAGTTTTTTAACTAAGCATCGCTTTGTAGATGGCTGAAAACAAGATTGTATTTTTGAACGCTTACAAAATGAAAATATCAATCATACTCGGCGTTTTCCATATGCTCTTCGGTTTGTCACTCAGTCTGAAAAATCACAAGTCAGTCTCAATTTCTTGTTTAATTGATTGTAAAAATGAAATTTTATTTAATTTTTAATATTTTTTTCTTGTTTTTAGATATTTCAAGAAACAAATTAACATCTATTGCGAATTTATTCCCCAGCTTATATTTATGACATTCCTCTTTTTGTACATGGTACTTCTCATGTTCTTCAAGTGGATGATTTACACTCCCAAATTTGGTATGCCAACACTAAATTTAAGCCTTTTGTAGATTTAGTTAGAAGAAAAAAAATATCTGCAGCTATTTCATACATTCTTTACAGTCATAAAGGACAAAACTAAAATAAAGTTCCTGTCATATAAGAGGGTTTAATGTCCAGTTACCACCTGTTGGGTGTCGCGGATGAGGGTCAAAATTACATTGCAATACTACTTCCCAATTAAGCTCAAACAAAGCTCCAAGGGATATGCCAGGATTCAAACCAGGAACCACTAGCATAGTAAATGTTAAATGCTTTAGTCACTGGACTACTTTGGTCCTCTTCTAAACCCATTTTAGAGAAAGAAATTTAATCATTTCTGTATTACGATGAACCTTTAGAAGTCAAAAACTTAACCTAATATGCTTCTTCAATTTTGTCTTTTTGGGTGCTGTAATTTTGATGTTTCTGGTCAATTTAGCATGTTTTCAAGGATAGACAGACCAAAAATGATGGGATACGGCCAAACTATAGGTTTATCAGCCCCAAACTCACAGTTTATTTTAGGTTTGTTTGGTAATGCAATTAGTTTTTTTTTTCTTTCCAACTTTCGACTTTAACCCTTTTTAATGAATGGGAGTTTTTTTAGTGGACCTGAGAAGGGCTGGTGTTATTTCGAAGCGTTGAAAAGATGAATCGAGGCCGGGATTGAGTGCATGTGTGTGCCGTTGGTAGTGGTCCGTGTCCTAGAGAATCGGCTGAGGTCTGGGGCCATGAGTCGGTTGACTCTGGTGCAGCAGTTGGCCAGTAGCCAAGTTGGCTGTGTCAAGAAGATTAGTTCGAGGCTAATGCTGCAAGTACCCTTGCCATCGTTGTCGGTGATCCATTAGTGATTAGCGAGAACTCATTGGGGAGACGAGTCACAAGGAGTAAAGTGAGATCTCGCCAAAGAGATGTCTGAAGTCATTAGGGCAGTGGCACAGTGCCCCTGCTTTTATATGAAATGGCTCTACTCTGAGTGGAGGGCAAGACCATTCCAAAACCGAGTTCCAGAACACCTAGCAGGTACCGTGGTAACTGCAGTTGGCCATCACACCCTTATGAAAGGTGATCCTTTATTACCTGCTAGCCCCAGTAGCTTTAGGGTAGGAAAAGCTGTATTAAAAGATTATTAAAAAAACAGGTCATTGCTCCCAAAAGTCTGTCCAGAATAAACTGTGACACATACGACATGGAAACAGATAAAATTCAATTGCTATAAGAGTTTCATCTTGGACATAGAGCAGCATATGCCTGTTAAAATTTATGTGGAATTTATAGTGTTAACACACAATGAATCAAAGAACAGCCTCAAGATGTAAGACTTAACGAGCTTAAAAGCAATGATTTATTAGTGGCATTGGAGGATGAATACAAATTAAATGCACCAGAGCTATCAGTCATTGCACGTTATTAGAAAGAAGAATCTGATCTCCAGTTTATGTTGTGTAACATGATTTATGGGTTCCCCATGAATGTCACTCAGGAACAAGGAAGGCCACATGGCTTGTGTTTCACACCAGAATAGGAATAAATTTGAACGATGTAGTTCCTGTTTGGTCCCTGGGGATGAGAAGTGGGTCCTTTACAAAAACGTTAAACGCTGGACCGTTTGCAAGAAGAATGAAACGCTGCCATTGACGTCAAGAGCCAAGATTACACCATCGTAAGGTCCTATTGTCTGTTTGATGGTATATTCGAGGAATAATTTACTTGGAACCGAATCTTCCGGCAGATGTGTACTGTGCCCACTAAAGCATCTTGGGGCAGCGTTGAAGGAAAAACGTGTAGTTCTAGTGAATTGACATTGTGTTTCACCATGATATAACGCCAAGGCTCACTGAACAACTGCACTTAGAGTAAAACTCGCCAATAGTTGTCCCAGTCCACATACTTTTCGTACCTTGCCCCCTCCTATTTTTATTTGTTCCACTCCCTAGACAATCAGTTAAAAGGTAGATTATTTTTTAACAAAAACGCTCTGAAAATCGGACTTATATATTTCTTCTCAGGGTTTTCACAAAAAAAGGGGATATTTCTGTTACCAGAATGTTGGCAGTATGTTATAGAGACCAAAAGAAATTATGTTTTGGATTAAAAATATAAAAAAATTATATTTTGAAAGTTTGATTCTTTTTTTCTGAAAATTGAAAAAACTTATGAACACACAATAGTAATTGACTCCCCCCCACAAGTTTCCTAGTGCTTGTTTCATGATCAGCAGCCATGGGTCCTCTGACTGAAATCATGGCCGGTCTGATCTTACTTTTCTTTTTAAGTTCTTCTTCCTCGATTTTTTGAAACTGTTTGATCAGGTCCAAAAGTTCTGAAGCGACGTGCTAATAATTCACTTTCCTCTTTTTGGATTTCTTGTCTACAACACTGATTGAGTAAAAACATCTAAGTTTATAATTATAGTTAAATATATTGACATTAGTTTTGGATTAAAGTGTTTTTAAAGTTTAACCCATAATAAATTTACCCACAATCTTCCCAAAACATTTCAACTTATTTGAAGAATAAAAATTTAATACTTATTATATTTTCAGATCATATCACTTCATCCCCGTTCTGCGCTCCTTCCATTTTAATTACATTCATAAACATGGTGCTTTTTAAAGATACTACTTATCCAGAAAGATGTTCGGAAAGCATGTATGCGGGACAAGTAAGCCAATATTTTTGACGATTATCTCTTACTGTTCAAATGGAAGCTTAATTCCTTTTCAATTTTCAGCAAGCTATACAAAAACTTTTGGTAATTTGCGCTGTACTTTGCATCCCATGGATGTTGTTCTCTAAGCCTTATCTAATCCAGCGCAATATGAAAAAAGAACATCAATTGGTAATTTAAAAACAAAAAAAAGTTAAAAATTCTAGTGTTTTATTTGTTTTATAATTTGTTTATTTTTCAGTTGAGTAATAATCATGTCGGCACAGAAAATGGCGATATAGAAGGTGCAATCACGCCGCAAACTCAAGCTGTGTCAGAAGGGAAGGTCGAAGAGCATGATATGACAGAAATATACATTCACCAGGGAATTCATACAATCGAGTATGTTCTCGGTTCTGTCTCTCATACAGCATCATACCTTAGGTTATGGGCTCTGTCCCTCGCTCATGCCCGTAAGTACCAAAAAAAAAATTCTTTTATTGATTTTTAATAAAAATACGATTGTGTAGAACTCTCTGAGGTGCTGTGGCATATGGTCCTTACAAAAGGATTGAAATTTGACAGCTGGATCGGAGGCTTTGTCCTCTGGGCTATTTTCGCTGCCTGGGCAATCCTCACTCTCGGGATCCTCGTCCTCATGGAAGGGCTTTCAGCCTTCCTTCATACTCTTCGTCTGCATTGGTATATATTTGCAAATGTGTACATCTGTTTATATCGGTTGTTATTAAAATTGTTTGCTACTTGTTCACAGGGTGGAGTTCCAAAGCAAATTCTATTCGGGTATGGGCTACACTTTCCAACCGTTTTCATTCGAGGTCATCTTGGACCAGGCCGCACACTCAGCGGAGGAGTAAAGAGTCTCATGTAATCTGATAGTAATAAATAAAATGTATGAAAAAAAAATATATGCCATAAATACTTCCTTATTAACACATTATATAGATCAAGTACTTAAAAACAATGCTGTTTCATTTGAATCCTGTAGCTTTTGAAATTGTATTCTAATATTTCTTTTTATTTCAGTTTGATTTTAATTTTTTGTATTTTGCAACATTCCACAATATTGTATTTAATTTTTTTAAATTCTAATTGATTGATACTTCAGTTTTTTTGAATACATAACTTAAAACACACAAAATTGTTTTCGCAGGTTTTCTTAATTCCCAAACATTTTTTTGTATAAAATTGTTGATTTTTCATGACATTGAGCTGTCCACTGGTATGAAGTGAAAAGTCTGAAGGAGGCAATTCGTCCTCACTAATGAGGAATTAGCAAAAACATCAAATTCTGGCTTTCTTGCTTAAATGCAAAACTTAATTGACAAAGGGTACTTCAGAGGGACATTGTTACAAGTACATACAAAAATAATATTACAGTAATTAGCTGCAATCTTGTATTTTGTAAAATAAAATTAAAATTACAATTGTGCTTTTATTATGGATATTTCTTCTATTGTAAAGTCTTTGTTTAATTAATTATATTAGCAAAATATTTAGTAACAAACACACTTATTATACGATTTGACTACAGCAGTTTTTTGATTGTCAACATTCAAACATAATCGCATAAAAAGGGAAAACATAAATTGAAAAAAGAAATACACAATAATTTATATATTTTAAGCTAAAATTTTAAAATAAAGGATAAAATTTGTTTATATTATGCTAAAAGCAAGAGTGGTTTACTACGCTACATTATGAGAATAAAGGAATTATTAGAGATTTAATATGGAGAACTCTAGTTTTCAGTGAAGTGAAAAAGCTAAGGCATCAAAGAGAATGGAGGCTTGAGTAGACCTTTTTATTAACAGAGCTCACATTCATGCCATGTAAGCTTGGAGTTGAAAATAATGCCGCAATTTTTAACCTTAGGGCAAAAATTAATATGAGGATATGATAGGCAATCAGTTTATTGGAAATTAATAAGGACTGGGATTTGTTAGGGTTTAAAAGAATGTCGTTATTTCTTGTCATTTGGTTGAGAGAATGAAGATCACGGTTGAGTAGAAAGATAGCTTCAGAGATGTTACTTGTAAGACTGAATGTAAAGCTGAGTGTCATCAGCATAAAGATGAATTTGGGGGAACTAATGGAAGATGTTTTAAACATGGATAAGAGTAAAGGTCCGATAATGGAGCCTTGGGGTACTACAGCTGAAATGGAGAGAGAAGAGGAGGTAGAATTTGAAACTTTAACTCTCTGAATTTTGACAAACAGGAAGAGATAATATAAGTAGCAGTAGAAGAAAAACCAAAAAAAGGCGTAAGTTTACAAATAAGCAAATTATGATAAAACTTTTCTACAATGATACAATCACTGAGATAGATATAATTTTGTAAATCTTAAGATCATTAGCCAGCAAAGAGTCCTGACAGACAGTGATAGCATCACAGACATCATTAAAGGTAAAAGGATAATAAAAATGGTATGAGCCAAGGGGCCTGAATGAAAACCCTGACGTACCCCCTGAGCTTATCAAAACCGGATCAGAGAGCGCATCCTGTAAAAGGACGGAAAAGGAGTGAACGAAAACAAAAGCTACTGAACAGGTTTTGGTTAAAGTTTCACACTTTGCTTTTGTTAGTGCAGGGTGGGTTTAGAAACTATAACATGGTCATATAACAAATAATGGACATCAGGATTTAGAAAAAAGAGAAATGACATTTTTTATTTTAAGCTATTTTCTTACTTTACATATTGTTTAATAACTTAAGTAATTTTTGCTTTTGTTTTCTTATGTTTGGCTTATATTGTTATATTGAATATTTCTATATTTAAACATTTTTTGTAAATTGGATTAATTCCATAAAATATATTATTATATAATTTATTTAACTTGCACTTCTGTACATTATGTATGTATATGTATATATTTCCATATTTAACTTTTATTATTTCTAATTATAATTTTTACTAAACATAATTCATCTAAATATGTACAAAATATTATTATTTAAATTAATCAACATATTTTTATGTAATTGCTGTCCAATATTATTTATGTAATATTTTAAAATATTATTTTACAATGAAAAAAACCAGAAAAAAACAATGATAAATGTGATCTTTTTATAGGTATGTTTATATGAAACATTCTTTTGAGCTATTTTCTTACTTTACATATTAACACATAAGTAATTTTTTCCTTTGTTTTTTATTTTTGCTTTTATATTGTATATTTCTATATTTAAACATTTTTTGTAAATTGGATTAATTCCATAAAATATATTATTATATAATTTATTTAACTTGCACTTCTGTACATTATATTTGTGTATGTATATATTTCCATATTTAACTTATATGATTTCTAATTATAATTTTCACTAAATATAATTCATCTAGATATGTACAAAATACTATTATTTAACTTAATCATCGTATTTTTATGTAATTGCTTTCCAATATTATTTATGTAATATTTTAAAATATTATTTTACATATTACAATTAATTAAAGTTTTTAGTTGAGATAAAAAAGTCAATGGCACGAGCGGGATTCGGTTGACTTTTTTATCTCAACTAAAAACCTTAATCAATTGTAATATATAAATTGGTCAAGCGGACCTCAAAATTAGTGAATTGAAAATTATTTTACAATTAAAATTAAACAAAAACAATGATAAATGTGATATTTTTATAGGTACATTTATATGACACATTCTTTTAAGCTATTTTCTTACTCTACATATTAACACTAAAGTAATTTTTTTTTTGCTTTTATAAAAAAATTGCTTTATGCTTTTATAAAAAAATTGCTTTATGCTTTTATATATTTCTATATTTAAACATTTTTTGTAAATTGGATTAATTCTGTAAAATTTATTATTATTTATTATCCTGCTGGCAACGCCGGGTTATAAAGCTAGTCAATATAATAGTTCATGCATAGTTTTCAAAATAATTGGTTATGTTATATACATGTTTCTTTATAAATAATCATGTTTTTAGTTGTTGATTGGACTTAGCAAGTTATGCTTAAACATCGTAATGTGCTGCTCATTGTTAGTCCCCTTTATGCTTTCACGGAAAAGTTGCAATTTCGCAGTAAAAGTTTAATTTCTTGCTTTTAAGAAAGATTTTCGCTTTTCTTTGAAATTAGATTAGATTATTAAATCATATTGGAGCCGGCCATTTTACGACATGCACACTGTGACCATTCTATTGTGCATCTCCATACTTTTTTTTTCATCTAGAACTCCTCACTAAGCTTAAAGCTTTTTACTAGGCCCCAAAGCTTTTTCAAGATGTGTTGTTCAAGCCTTGGATTTTTTCCCCTCTGAGTCTATACATATGCCTCTGTCTGCAGAGTCCAGTCAGCAGTCCAACTATTTTCTTGTCCTAGCAAGTCTTAAAGATTTAGTAGTTCTGTTTTTGGTTTCTGCGATGGTCTTTTCCATTAAACAGAGGACTTATTTTTCATCCATTGTCTAATGGATCCGAGTTTTTGGTAGTTTGATAAGCCAGAAAAGGTTTCAGGGCTAATAAGTCCTCATCAAACTTGGCTTCTTGGGAATTTATTTGGGCAAAAATAAGTTCACCGATTCACCAGACTATTTAAACGTCACATCGTTCTTAGGTGAGTTAATAATTTTTTAATTGTGTAATTGTTTTAAAATAATTTAAGCCAGATAATTCGTTATTTAAACTAAACTATTTGTTTATAAGCGGATGGCATTAGTTTAAATAAAGTTGAAAAGCTGGGTTTTAAGTGTTTTGGTGATTTTTTATGTTGCCGTTTTGAGTGGGATTTATGATAAAATAATCCTTTTTTAAAATATTTTTGTGAATATAAATATATTTATCCAATTGATTTTTAGTTTAGGTAAAAATTGTTTTAAACCCCTCTGGAAAGTTCAATCGGTGGTAGATCTTCCGTGAGAGGGTGTGCGGGGGCGGCCGTCGGGGCTGCCCGCCAATCGGCGGCTCGGCGGTACGCGGGAGGCGGGAAACACCTCGGATTAACCTCCTCACCCTGTCGCGAGGGGTTGTTTTCCGATTTCCTTCGTTTCCAGTCGGAATCCAGCCGGTCCCGATCACCCCTCGACTTTCTGGACGCCTAGGGAGGATTTTCCGGACATGGAAAATTATAACAAGTTGGAGAAAATTGGCGAAGGGACTTACGGAGTCGTCTACAAGGCGATCAACGTCGTCACCAAGGAAATTGTCGCACTCAAGAAAATAAGGATAGACGGGTATTTCATTCCTATTTACTTTACGCTTATCTATTTCCATCCAATGTCTCCAACTAAGCGTATAAGTTTTTTTACTTTAAACTACTGAGCCCTTCGACCTTAAAATTCACTTTAAAAAAGAATTTAATTTTAATTTATCCCTATTATTTCCCCATTGATAACACAATTTAAGCCTAAATATCACAATTAAAGGCTAAAATCAAAGAATACGTATGGCTTGTTGAGTTAATATTTATATTTGCCTGTTTGCTTTTTTAAATTCTTCATAATTTATTCTTCTCTAAAAATGACATTTATTAGTGGAAAATTTGAAGAAAATATTTATATGATTAATTTTTCTTTTCGTATTGTATGATTCAATGGAACATGTCCATCAACCCTTAAATTCACCGTAGAAAGTATTCAATTTCAGTGTATATTAATTATTTACCCCAGGAATAACACATAATTTATTAATCATTTATGTAGCAAAGAATAAGTATGGTTTATGGTGGTAATATTTATATTTGCCAGAGTTTGCTCGTTGGCTGAATATTACACTTATTTACCCTAAAAATGATTTTCAGGGCTAATTTTCAGTTATATGTTGATAGACATTCAGTTTAAAAATACAAATATAAAAAAAAGAGTGTAATTTAGCATATGAACACACTCAAGAATACCTAAACATTAAACAGATAAACCACTCTCATTTTTAGTATAAATAAGTGTGAAATTCTGTCAAAGAGCAAACTCAGGCAAATATAAATATTACCACCATAAACAATTCTTATTCTTTGCAACATAAAAATGAATAATAAATTATGTTCTATTCCTGGGGTAAATAATTAATATACACTGAAATTGAATACTTTTTACGGCGAATTTAAGGGTTGATGGACATGTTCCATTGAATCATACAATATCAAAAAAGCAAAATTAATCATATAAATATTTCCTTAAAATTTTCCATTAATTGATGTCATTTTTAGGGTAAATAAGTGTAAAACTCAACCAATGAGCAAACTCTGGCAAATATAAATATTACCACCATAAACCATACTTATTCTTTGCAACATAAAAATGAATAATAAATTATGTGTTATTACTGGGGTAAATAATTAATATACACTGAAATTGAATACTTTCTATGGTGAATTTAAGGGTTGATGGACATGTTAACATTTAAATTTATATCAATTATTTACACCAATATTAACAAATTTTAAGCGTGTATATCAAAATAAAGGCTAAAATTTGTTTACATATATCTAAAAATTTGTGGTTTATTGTTTTATTATATTTAGGTTTGCCTAAACTGAATCTTCCCATCTACGGTATTGTAAATCATGAGAAATGTTCAATTTAACTTTTATTTATCCTCAAAATGACATTTATTGTTGAAAATTTGAAGGAAATACTTATATGATTAATTTATTTTTCGTATTGTGTGCTTCAGTGGAACATGTCCATCAACCCTTAAATAATAATTTTGTAAGGGTTTTGGAGGCTGCATTTTTGGATAAGGAATGTGGGAAAAAAGTAGATAGATGTTGAGGACATTTATTTAATTTAATTTTAAATAGCTATTCTAAAACTAAATTTATAAGTGCTTTAGAATGTTAAGGTTGCTGAAGAATAATAACACATTTTAAACTAAAATATTACAATCAAAGGCTAAAATTGATTTTTACATAATAAAAAAGTAAGAGTGATTTATTGTTGTAATATTCAGGTTTGCCTAAATTTGCTCTTTGGCAAAATTTCCATCTTTTTACACTAAAAATGACATTTAGTGTGAAAGGGAATGGCAAAGGTGATATGATTTTTTAAAAATTTGTTTGATTAAACTGAACATGTCCATCAACCCTAAAATTCGCCCTAAAACTATTCATTTTCAGTTTATGTGAATTACTTATCCCATTACTAACACAACACATTTTTTCCAATCTATGGAACTGGAAGTGCTTATTTAACAAGTTTTTTTTTGAGGTATAAAAGGCTCGTATAGTTAAATTATCACCGTAGTTGTGCCATTTACCTTGTCTTTGATATTTTGTTTTGCACTCTAAAGGGGGATATGGAGGGTTTTAACTCATTGAAAGTCTCAGCAATATTGACCTTAGAATTCCTTGTAATTCTGGAGTCAACATATCAACCATAAAGTCTACAATAAAAATAATTTAATTTCAATCTTATTATTTGTTCTATTTTGTAAATTTGTGTTTTTAAACATAACACTGAAAATGGCCATAGACAGGCTAGTTGAAATTTTAATTTTTGGAATGTTCTAGAGATTCTGAAGGTATCCCGTCTACATCGCTTCGTGAAATCTCTTTACTTAAAGAGATTAGGCATGATAAAATTGTAGCTCTTTTAGATATCCTATGTGGTGAAGATAACAGTCTTTTTATGTGTTTTGAATACATGGATGAGGATCTCAAAACTTTTATGGATGACAGGAAGAAAAAGCTCCCTTTGTGCCTTGTTAAAGTGAGAGAAGCATTGTTTCCCCATCCCACCCCAAAAGACTGACTATGAATTTCATGTTTTGCAGAGCTTCTTGTACCAGATGCTTGAAGCAATAGCGTATTGCCATTCAAAAGGCATTGTTCACAGGGACCTAAAACCACAAAATCTTCTAGTCAATAAAAGAGGTTGTGTTAAATTGGCCGATTTTGGTTTGGCAAGGCATTTTAGCGCTCCTCTTAGGCCTTACACACATGAAATAGTCACTCTGTGGTATAGAGCACCTGAAATCCTCCTCGGGACGAAGTGCTACACTGCTACTGTCGATGTATGGAGCCTTGGGTGTATTTTCGCTGAACTGGTATGGTAAAGTTGTATTAAATTCAATATAGATTTTCTAGTTATTTTTTCTAATTTCAGATCACGCTAAAACCTCTTTTCCCGGGCGATTCGGAAATCGACCAGTTGTTTAGAATATTTCGGACGTTAGGTACACCCAATGAAGAAGTCTGGCCTGGTGTGACCAAATTGCCAGACTATAAACCCCTTTTTCCTCAGTGGGAGTCACAAACAGTCGACGACTACGTATGCCAGCTAGATAAACTGCCTAAACATCTTCTTGAGGTATTTTTTTATTGTTCAACTTTCCTTTAGGCTTACATGTAACATAAAAAACAAAAATATTTTCAGAGATTAATCACTTATGATCCAAGTAAGAGGATATCAGCCAAGAGAGCGCTGAAGCATAAATTTTTCAAAGATGTACAACTAGTCTCTCCTACACTGTGATTCGGATTAATGTACAATAACATTACTTTTACTATTCTATATACAAAAAAATGATGTGCCTTGATTGTCAAAAATAATGATTTGATTTCATATTATAAAATTTAAATGTGAGACTGGTACGTGTAAGAAAATTGTATATATTTTTGTAATATACTGAATTTGAGCAAAATAATATTTTCATTGTTATGAAAAGTACAGTTTAAACTGCTGTTATGAAGTGAAATTGTATTAATTTTTTCCAATTGCAGTTTCTATTTCATAGTATCTGTTAGCAATTGTAAAATAACTTTAAATTTTTTTATATTGCTACTTATCGTCTTATGCATTTATATTTATTTTAATTTTAAGGAATCACATGTCTTTTTTTTTCTCCCTTGCTTATAGTTAAAAAAATACAAAAAATCCAATTGTCTCTATAATTTTTTGAAATGTGTATCCATTTGATTTATCAGCTAATTTGCAAATTTTTGACATGAACTTTTTATATATTTCAAACAGTTATTGTTACATTGTTTCTCCTTTCCTTTATATTTAGATATTTTTTACTCCTAGGTTTAGTTTTTTTGTGGATCTCAGATAAAATAAATATATTTTGAAAATAAAAACTTTACAATTTCTTTCCTTCGATGGCTTTTGGAGGTAATTTTTCACTGCACAATTTTAAAAACCTGTAGGGGTGTCAGTGGGCACAAAAGTTAAGGTGTTGACATGTCCCAGGTATGGTTTGTTTTCCCAAAATATTGGCACCCTGGGGGGGGGAGTAGGATTAAGAAACAGCTTCATAGCACAATGAAAATTATTCTAATATAGTTAGCAGCAAATATAAAAATTATATTGAAACAAAATTTTTACAATTTAATATGTAAATGTTGCAATGATTGATTTATTACTTTTATTGGGTTTAAAGTAAGTCTATAGTGTAGATGGTAAATTCAATGCAAATTTAAGGCAATTGTAAACACATTAGTCAACAACGTATGAATCATTTTGTTGCCATCTTCCATATAATTTAATAATTCTGTCCTAGAACTTCTCTGGTTTTTGCGCGAAGAACTTGATGTGTTTTTTGCTCTCCTCAAGTGAAGTAAAAAAAAAAGCTCAAAAAGCACCTCTCAATTCAACCATATGCACATTACCATCTTGTGATATAAGCTGCCTTTTGGGGTTATTGGTGGTGGGTCAATTCCCAGTTTAATATTATTTATTTATTTTTAATATTAGTAGTGGTTTGTGACAACAGAGGTCATATCAATCCCAGGGACCCGTGAATGCTGGAAATTATAATGAACAAAAAAGGATAATTTTATTTATCTAGGTTTAACATGAATAATAATTGAAACACAATATGCATACATTTTTTAAAATATTATATTTGTCAAAACAAATATTTGCATTGTCTATTACCACATTTTGTAAAACTAAACTATAATTTTTTTTTTTTAAATCCACTATTTGAATTTAATTTTTTTTTTAGTGTATAATATACGGTATTTTAAGAAAGATACCAAAAGTAGAAACAGATTTTTGTTGGCAATGTCTCATCTGAGGTTGCTCGGATGACAAAGCTTAAAAATCTGTTCCCCGTACGAGAACAGATCAAAGCTAACCTCATTTCTCACCACTAATTGAACTCCTTTAAAAATTATATAGCTTATATTTTTTTACAATTTTGTAGGAATTGAGATTTCTCTTTCTTACCCCACTTTGGATACATTATATATACATCCTGACATTGAACCAACAAACAAATAATAGGAAGACAAACCAAAAAATGTATACAATGATCATTTAAATTAATTGATTTACAAAAATATATTGTGCTAGAAAAAGAAAACAAAAAGACGTTTTTTGTTTAAAATAACTATAACTAATTGTAAGACATAGCTAAGTGCAAAATAACAATGCTGTCCAGGAATTTATTTGGTTTCTTTTTGAGTAAGTCACCAGTGTTCGGTTTTTATTTCTATGTAATGTAGTGTGAAAAATCTATTATTTTAATGACATTTGTTAAACAAATGTATTTAAGTTTCCAATAATAGAAAACACCACTGGTAGTGAACCATTTCTTGAGGACATTTTAATTACATTTTTTTGGTTGTTCTGGTACACTAGAATTTGCCCGTACTTTTTAATAAAAATTACATCTGGCATATCAGCCTTAGCCGTTTATTACTTGATCCCTTCTTTGTTCTTGTGCAGTTCGACTGGGTTTTGCAGCTCTTTTTCCGTCTTCTCGATCAAAGACTTTTCAACAACGGATGGATAATCGTTCTTGTCCGTGGGTAAATTGGGCACTGAGGGCTTTGTAACTCCATTACTTTGGTTGGGGAGAGGTGAGTTTGGCCCTTTTATGCCGTTATTAATTGCACTATTTATCTGTGGTTGGGATATTAAGGGCGGTACGTTTTTGGAATTTATCTGAGCCTGTTGTACAGTTTCAGCAGGCTTCTCTGGGAAAATTTGAGTTTGGTTAGGTTTGTTTTCCTGATTGATAATCACTTTCTCAGCCGGTTTGTTTTCTTTCTTTTCATTAGGTATCACTGGTGCCATTCCTGGGGATGTCTCTTTTTGCTTATCGTCTATCACTTTTCCATTTGCGTTAGCGTCTTTTTGGCTTTCTAAATTACCTTGAGCCAGCGGTTGGCTGGGTTTTGACAGTGTGTCTTTTTTAACTTCGGTTTTCTTTTCTTGGGCTTTCTCTTGCAACTGATTTGAATTTTGGTCTATAGGCTTTCCGATTGGTTTTGAAATTTTTTCCGGCGATTCTTGTTTATTTTCAGATAAATTTTCACTTGTTCCTGATCTCGAATCGGACAATTTTTGTCTTGATGAAGATGAACTACTCCGTGACTTTTTCCCCTGAAAACACACATTTACAGATACCCTCACTTCAGAGACATTACGTTTAAAATGTGCTTAAAAATTAACACTAAACGTGTTATACTTTTTATCTACTTAACAATTGGTACTGTAATTGAAAATAAAATAAAGATTAAATATTAAAAAAAGTGTATGTTTTTCTATTGTACTTCTAAATGTGTAACAAAAATTTGAAACTCTCCTTTCCTTGTGCAAATAAATACAGCAAACATACAATTTGCACATTTATTTATTTTATTTTATTTTTTGACAAGGAAAAGAATTTTGTACATTTCAAAAAATTACAACTGTGTAGTAAGTAGCTATCAAACTAGTTTGCTACTGTTTCTACTTCAAAGTACTTGGGTTTTTATTCCGTTGATTGGTGTTTTCAATAATGTCTTGTGTTCTGTTGTGCCTGTCGGCGCATTAGTCTTTCTTGTCTGATCATTTCCTGAAAGGCGATTAGTTTGTTTTTATTTTATTGTTTGTACAGTTAAAAGAAACAAAAAAACAGGTTTTTGTTCTCTTTGCTTGTCAAAGTTTGGGTTGTGGGATGTAGAATAGAAAAAAAAATAGAGCCACATAATTGAATTTGTTATTGGCTATGGTTTATTTGTATAACAATTTTATAAAGGTATAAATCTAACGACATTCTGTCGCAAACATTTTTTTTTTCAGACAGCAGAAATAGACTTATTTTTATTTCTGTCTTTAACAATATAAACACACAGTAAAAATGGTTTAACTACATTATTTGCTACAATGTTCATGCATCATGCAGTATTACTGTGGTACATTGAACGCATTAAATAAAACTCATTTATTTACAAGCAAAAAAATACATAAAATACATAATTGTGGTGGACATCACTAATTACGGGCGAAAAACTTGCTTTTCGCATTGAAAAATCATTGTGAATCCTACTATGTATAAAAAAATACTGTTCAAAACTAATTTTTTTTTCTTGAATATAAAAATGTATATATTATGTATTTAATTATTGGATTTAGCAGTAAAGGATTAAAGTAATGAATAGACATTTTCAAAAATAGCAAAAATTTTGTTTTGACAAAAGTTAAAGGAAAAAACAATAGGCAATTTTTTCATGGTTGATACATAAATGCTTATCAGTTAGTTGCAATCTGTCCAAAAAGATCTTTTATTATTAAGTACAAATAAAGCTGACAATGTTAACAAACTTTTGGGTTGTACTTTATTTCTATTTGATATGTTATTTATATATGTAGTATTAATACGAATGAACAAGGACGTTTTAAAAGTGAACTTCAATGATAGCAGTATTGCTTTTTTATGATTGTAAGACTTGATTTTTTTAAAAATATTACTGCTCAACTTATAAAACAACAATTACAATTATTCATTAGACTAGTCAATAATTTCTGATAGCAGACATTGAAATACATATATAGATTAGAGTTAGTAATAAAATTGGAGTTAGTATCTTATAATTTTTTTTTTGTTAGAAATATATTTAAAAAAAATACAAATCATTTTGAAAGATAAAAAAGTTGTATTTGTTTACTAAATTTATATCACACATCAATAAAAAAAAAAACTTTTTGATTACAAAATAAGCGAAATATATTGTCAAATTTCTTTTTAAAGAAAACACATGGAATGAACTACGCCAATCGAATTCAATCAGGAAAGTTACAGGCAATCCTCGGGCAATTATAATGGGTATCGAAGGCTGGAGACGGATTGTCGAATTAACTCTCCGATGATTGCGAAAATTGCGGTGAACTCTGCTGCAAGAAGCAAAGCGTGATCAAAAAAGCCAAAAGTGCCAACTACAACATGTATTATGGTAGCAAACAAATAAAACAATAAAAATAAAATAAATTCATTCATTAATTTTTGTGTGGGAAGCTGCCTTTGAACACGGATACAGGGTTGTGGCTTTTAATTTTCATTCAACTGGTTTGTTTTGATAATTTTATGATTTATAAATTTGTAGAATTTTTTTAAAAATTATAAATTAATATTATTTTAAAAGAAGTTTCCATTCTTGTTTAAAATTAAGAAGTATACATTTATATTTTAAGCAATATCTCCTTCCAATCCAAATATGAAAACATTCAGCCACAAAGAAAGGTCAAGGAACAAAGGATAAATAAAAAAGGCATTAAAATGAATTAAAATAAAAATATATAACAATCTGAATATATAAAAAAACAAAAAAAACAATAAATGAAAAAAATAAATGAAATAATATTTCTGTGTGCCACTCTCTTCTCTTGTTTATTAATTTAAAGGGGTACATAATTAAATCAAGGCCTGGCAACTAAGGAAGACTTTATTTAAAAACATACACAAGCAGGTTTTTTGAATTAAAAAACTAATAAATATAAATAAATAAATAAATACAAAATTATTTGTGAGCACTACAGTACTACACGACAGTATTAACATGTTTGCTTGTGCCAACTAGACTTGACGTTTCTGAAAGTTCTAAAGTTTATCATTGACATATTTTGTTTATATGATGTACAATAGTCTGGAATTATTTATTTTATTGTAAGGAAAACATGGGAGGTGTATGAGAAAATATTGTGTTTTGTCAGTACTACCGATAAAAATGGTAGATTTGAGTCAATGTGTTTGTTTATAATCTGTAGTGACTTGTCCTAACATTGTGTTGAATCGATGCAGTCAGGAATAAGAGTCTGAAAATAATTAAAAATCTGATCAATTTTCTTAAAAAGTTGTAAGTTGAAAGCGACAAAAAATGCTGAGCCTCTTTATTACATAATTTTTAAAACAATTAAAAAATACTGAAAATTAATTAAACATTTTAGATATAATTAAATCAATGCATCCAGTATTTTATTTTGATATGTATAAAGTTTGAATTAATGCATATTAAATCATGTAAATTTAACCACCAACCTGATGCGCAACAGCATGGACGTCACTGCTTGGGCCAGCCATTTGTTTCAAATATTCCTTATCGTCGAAGATTTTTATCTCACCGCCTCCAGGCTTGTATTTGACGTTATCCAATGATCCGATTTTGCTGGTCGCTTTTATCTCCAGTTTTTGATCCTCGATCTAAATGGGGGAATGGGGAAAAAATCAATTTTATACATATTTTTTGGCTGTGGAGAGCCTGCAAAGGGTAGGTCGCCTTTTGCAGGTGATTCTAGTGATTTACTGTGCAAATAAAGTCAATTTTTTAAACTAGCCAATATTTACAGCAGAACATTTATAATAAAATAGAAAGAATTATTTTTTTTTTTCAGAAATATTACCAGTGGCTAAAAGCGTAAATACTGTGATGTTACTTAAAGTTCTTTTTGTCCAGTTAAGATCTTTATTATAGTCAGATTTATAACAAATTCTAAACTGTTAAGAAGAATTTGATATTTTAAATATAAGTATTTGGTGGTTTGAAGTGATCCTTTGCCTTGTTCAAAGGTTTCTGATTATTTTTTACAATGTGCTCAAAACAATTTTTATCTGTGGGGACAAGAGAGCTGCAAGACAAGGTCAAAAGTTATTAAATATAAAATTTGTAAGAAATAAAATGTAGTAGTGCAAGAATTATTATTTTGTAATGTTATGCCCTCAAAAAGGTTCTTTTCTAGGTAGCAAATAAATTGTTGCAAGACAACAGAGGAAATGACACACAGACAGAGAAAATATGAGGAAAATATCAGGAATTAAGCAAACACCAAGTATTTTGGTAGTTGGTACGCATTTAAAATTTATTTAAAACAAATATAGTACATATCCAATTGTTATGCCAAATTTATGCAGAAAAGCGTTATATTTTTAGAAATCATGCTTTTACTTTTAAAATAAAAATCACCATGCTCCAACTTACCATTTTACGATAATAAATAACACCACATTGCTTGGGAAATTTCAGTGTCGTGTTTGAAAAAAAAGTAAATGTGTTCGAATGTAAAAAAAAAATAAAAAAATATATATATAGAGTAAAGAGTAGCTACCATGCTGTTTGTGTAATAATACCTGTTATGTTTTAAGATGTACTTTTTGGATTTTGTGTTTGTGAATAAACATTCAACATAATGCTGACAGGGATGCATAAACCGACAGAAGTGTAACACAGGGGCAACAACAATAATCAACATACGGAGGATTGAATTATAAAATACTTTATTATTATACATAAAGTATAAGCTTTGTCTAAATACTAGAAGACTTAAACCTACCAATTTAATATTGAACAGAATTCTCTATTAAAATAAAACTTACTTTTATTTTCATTATTATGAATAATTTAAAAAGCGAAACCAGAACAAAGTGCTTTATTGAACCTCTGGTTAGGAAGGATGTCAGTGCTCGACTGGGATAAAGGCTTGTGAAACTTATAGAAATCAAAATCATTAATCTATTACATTAATGTTATTTATATCTTAATCTAAAGGTAATTTCTCAGTTTTTTTTAAAAATTCTTTTGTATAATTTTAAGTTTGTCCAAATCCTTTGTAATTGTCGGGACTTCTGCATGTTGTTTATGTGATACTTACATTGTTCGGGTTTCCATCCTGCGATCCCTCTGAACTCTAAACAACAATGTATAAACACAATCACATGGCATTCCAAACTAAACATTCTTTGGTTATTAATTTAATGCAATAAAATAAAATAAAAAAAAGAAGAAAATGATAAATGATCGAAAGAAAAGAATTAAACAAAATAAAATCTCTTTTACCCTTGTTATTTTCACATAGCAATAATTATTTGCAAAATATAAAACATATTCTCTATAAATTTATTTTCAATTTTAGAGTTAGTAAAAACCGTATAACAAACATAAAAACAAAATAATATAATATTACAAGTGGAATTTCACACATAAAATATTATTATTATCGCCTTAAATTTTAAATAAATAACACACTTCATGTTAAAAAATAAATTAATAAATCCAAACACTTTCTAGTTTTTCAATTTGTCATAACTTTCATGCTTGTGCTGCTATATTAAAAAAAAATAATTGAAAACTTAGCTGCTTCTCTATGCAAAATTATTTAAAATCCTAAAATAAATATGATAAAAATTTTTGAAATATATTTTTTGAGATCTAAAAAGAAACAAAAATGATCATGCTCTTTGAATAATAAAAATATGTATATTGCCTAGATATGTATCATGCTAAATTTTTCACGTCCCCCACGAGTTTGTTGTTTTATTTATAATCAGTTTTAAGTATATGTACAAATTAATACCTTAACTATTCCACCACCTGGTGTGTGCTTTATGTTGTCCTTTGACCCGACTTTGGGTTTGGCTTTTTCTTTGAAGTCTAATTTTACCGACTCGATCTTCTTGTCGCCACCTCCTGGCTTGTGGCTGGCATTTTCTAAAGAGCCAATTTTCGATTTAGCATTCCACTGAAGTTTCACATTTTGAATCTGAAGAAGAAATTGAATTAAGAACTAAACCTGTCTACCCAGAAAAAAAGAAAAAAAATCACCTTTTTTTCGCCTCCACCTGGTGTGTACTGTTCATTCTTTGCTTCAATTTTTGGAGTTGCGCTGAAGTTTAATTTCCTATTTTCGATTTTTATGTTGCCCCCGCCGGGCCTGTGTTTCGCATTTTCGAGAGATCCAATTTTCGATTTAACACACTTGAGGTTTGGCGACGGAGCTGCACCGACTTGAACTTTGTTCATAGGGACTTCTGAAAAATTATCACCATAAGTGTTAACTATCGTCTATAGTTTTATTTTACTGTCCATTCCAGGTTCCTCTAAATTGTGTCCAATCTCTAAATGGCTTGCGCCAATGGTGCAACATAAATTAATTAACGTTTCAAGCTCCTATATGTCTCTCAGTATAATGAATTTTAAATAACTCAATAAAGCAGAAAGTTATTAAAAATGGAAATTAAAAATGTTTACACTATTTCTTAGTAAATAAATTCTTAATAAATAAATTAATTAAGCACATTTAAAGAAAATTTAAGAGAATAAACATATAAAAAACAGTTCTATTTGCTGGTTGGTCACTTGCTCGATGGGAATTAATTTACTAAAACTAACTTCATTGGCTACGATCCTGCAGGAAAAAAGGTAATGGTGTTTAGGTGTGCCTAGAAATATGAGTATTTTAATTTTCTAATTGAAGTAATTAATACAAATAAAGTAAAATAGTTTGTGTTTGAATGAATTTTTACTCTACTGCATTCATTACATAAATGCAAAATCCATATATTAAAAAAAAAAAAATTAAAAATGTAAACTTAAAAATGGCCATGCTGGTAATTTATTGAAGTAAGATAAATAACAGTTCATAATTATTTAGCTTCTGGTACGTTCAATTTTATTACTTGTTGATGTTTTAGTGATAATTAAAAACTTTCCTACAGCAGTTTTTATTGCAAAATCTAAAATGAAAAATGCTTAACATGTCATTTTTTTTTTTAATTTTAACCAACTTTAATGAAATGTGAACAACAAATAATTTTGCCAAATCGTTGTTGATTATTCCTTGGTTGGATTTTAGTCGGAAATTTGGGGCCCTTTGATATTGTAATAATGAATATTATCAAATCAAATAACATATAAAAATCTACAATATAAAAAGACTTATTGCTTGAAAACTCAATCAATTTGGAATAAAAACAAGCCTACCTTATTTTAGATTTATGTATCCACTACACATTTTCATAACAAGCCAGTAAAAAATATAAATATTGACGTGTTAAACATTTTATTTGAAATTGTGTGTTATAAGTAGATAAATGTGAAAAAACCTAAGAAAATATTCCATCACTACTCAAGTTTTTTGAGAAAAGAGGAAATAAAATATTTTATACCTTCTACATGTAAAAAATCTCTATTGAAAATTATTAGAAATTACCATTTCTTTATTCTATTGTTTATAAAAGATATTGATAATTAAATATTCAAATATGACTAGTAGTGCTCCTCTAGGAGTGCTTTTTAAGAATAAGTTCTTGTGTACTATTCCTAATGTCAGTGTTTGCCTCATACTTATTAAAGGAGTTTCTGGCAATGAATTTTGTAGCGAATCTTGCTTGATAATTGTAGGCTTTGGTGTCGCCGGTTTTGAAATTGGAGTGGCTGGTTTTAGGATTGGTGTGGCCGATTTTGGACTTTCCAGTTTTGAAGTTGTTTGAGTTGATACTTTTTCATTCACCGGTGTTGGCTTTGGAGTGGCTGGTTTTAGGATTGGTGTGGCCGGTTTTGGACTTTCTGGTTTTGAAGTTTTTGAAGTTGATACTTTTTCATTCGCCGGTGTTAGCTTTGGAGTCGCCGGCTTTGAAATTGGAGTGGCTGATTTTAGGGTAGGTGTGGCCGGTTTTGGGCTTTCCGGTTTTGAAGTTGATATTTTTTCATTCGCCGGTGTTGGCTTTGGAGATGGTTTGCTTTGTTCTCTTTGTTCTTCAGATTCAGTTTTCTTTAGTTCTTCCTGTTTTTTTGTGTCTTTTGGTTGCTCTTGAGCGAAATGGACTCTATTTTGTGTGTCGTTATTTGGGTCGGATGTTTTTTCAGTGTTTTCGTCTGGAATATTAAATTTTTGTTGGTTTACTCTGGAATGGTCAATATTAATATTGCTTGGTGTGTCTTTTAAAATGGCTGCAACTTTCTGTTTCTGTGGTTTTTTATTTTGTGGTTTAGCTAGATCAGTATGTGGTTTGGGGTTTTGTGCTTTAGGTGTGTGGGGTTTGTCTGATTCTTCTCCCTTGTGCTGTAAATGTATTTTTGGATTCTCACTTGTGTTGGGTTTGTTTGTATCTTCTTTGTTCTCAATAGGGTTTTGTTTTGTAGAAATTTCTTGTTTTATGGGATTTTCTGCAATGCTAAACTCATGTTTGCTCTGTAAATTTGTGTCTGTTGTTGTGTTTGACATGTATGATGGTGTCTCTTGTGACTCAATTTCAGGCAGAATTGGTGATTCCTTTAACTCCAGTTCATTAATTTCCTTATCCTGATCTGTATCATCTTGCTGAGTTTCTTGAAATTGTTCATCTGTTGTGTACAGTGTGTATTCCTTCTGATAGTAATCTGTGTCTGTGATTTCTTGTGTTTCTTGTATATCTGTGTATTGATATTGTGTGTCATACAGTTCTTGTTCGCCGTAGACTTCTGACCATTGCTTTTCATTATACTGTGTCATTTGTATTTCTAATATTTCCTCTGTGTACTGCTGATCGGAATCTGTGTTTTCTACATTATCAAATTGATTGTCCTGTTCATCTGTTGTGTCATGTTTAGTGTGTTCTGGAGACAATTCGGAAATATCTATATACAATAAAAATAATTCAGTACATTAAATTTTAATAAATTGAAAAATTGCATTTGATTTAAAAAAAAAAAAAAAAACACATTGTGAAAGATGTAATTTTAATGACTTACTTTTCTTCTCTGCTGTGCCAGGTGTGTCTGGAGTTTTTGGTGATATCTTACTAGGAGATTTCACTGGGGTTTGTACATTGCCTAATTTCTTTGGTGTTGCTGCTTTTGAGGGAGACTTTTTCGGTGACTCCTGGTTTCCGTTGACGACTGGTTCCTACGCAAACAAAATATGAGTTTTCTACTTATAATTTTGTAAATGTGGACATAAGAAACTAAACTATACATACAATTGTTGAAAATTTTTAATTAATAGTAGTTTAATATTATTTATGTACATATTTAAAATGGGAGGTAGACCAAAATCTATTATATTATTAATGCATTTATATCCATGTTCAATTTTACATTTTTTAATTTCAAATTTCTCAAACCAATCTAGTTCTCTCCCTTTGTTGAAACTATGTAACACTGTTGTATTTAAATTTGGATTGAAATTATGTTTTGTTTCTTTTAGATGGTTTTTAATTCTGAAACTTGGTTCGATTTAGGCAAGTGCTCTTTTACTCTTGTTTTTATTTCTCTACCTCTTTGTCCTATATTTTTAATATCACAATCACTACAATTCAGTAGGTAAACCCTGCTTTTTGCCAAGTTGTCTACCTTGTCTTTAGGTTTTGAGAGGATGTTTGTAAGTGAACCCGTACTTCTAAAAGCTATTCTAAAACCTTCTTGTTTAAAAATTTTACTAACTTTTTCCAATAATTCACCAATGTATGACAAACAATGGAAACCTAATGATTAATTTATGGTGGGGTGGCTGAGTCCTATTGTCGATTAATTTAAAGTTAATTTTTTATTCTTTTAACTAGCAACCTATCAATAAATATTTCTAGATACTCATTATTTTTTGCTAAGGTTTTAATAGTTTCTAATTCTTTTTTATAGTTAGCAGGTGTTAATGGAAGTTTTAACATAAGTCTATGAGCCAAATGAAACCAGCAGCCTTTTGGGACCATGGGTGGGAAGAATCCGCTGGTATCATGTATGTAGTTGTGGGTTTTCTATATACGACTATTTCTATTAGGTTGTTTATTATAGACAATTTGAGGTCTAAAAAGTTCAAACAACCATCTTTGTTAATTTCCAATGTAAAATTTATATTACGGTGTAGAGAATTAATTAGTTGGAGGAATTCTTTGAAATCCTCCAATGTTCCAGACCAAATACATAAAATGTCGTCTACATAGCGTTTACAAAAATGAGCAGATTTAATTAATTTGTTCTTTGATGATACAAATTAATTAAATTCTTCCTTTCAACCAATGGGGTGAAATTTAGGTAAAGTAATTCACCCCTGATTTTAAATAGCCAACACCAGATCCTTCAGGTTAATCAGCAGTTCATTCATGAATGAAAATAATTTACATTCAATGTCCAGCTGTTTATAGAAGGTGAACCTACAAGATTCTCTAGAACTGCTAGCGTAGCAAATACGAGCCGGATGCTTTAGCCTCTCAGCCACACTCCCAGATAAAGGAATATTAATACGTATTTTGAAAATAATGAACTGACCACATTTTTTTTTAGATATATTGATTTACACCATTTTATAAGTTTGGATGGTGTTGCTATTTCCACATTTAACAAAAACTCATGGGTGAATGGAATATGATAAATTTAATTATATCAAACTTGAACTCATTTTGTCATCATGATTAAAGAAAGTAGCAGCATCAGTGTGTTGGATCAGCAGAGAAGCTCTCGTGTTTCAAGAGAATGGTCGAGCCCTCAAAGGACCTGATTTGTTGAAGAAGGGCCATGCTCACCACCCGATTAAGGATAGACCATGTGTGATTATCATGCGGGCACTTTCTTTGGGGCCAAAGCTTGTGTCTGTTTCTGTCATGTAAAGAATGGTTGCTTGATGCGTCCCGCCCAATTGAAGGTGCCATTCCTAGGCTCCATATAGATTGCTTAGGAATGCCAGGAATATATGGATCCTCTGTTCCGAGAAATTCTTGGAGGAAACAGGGTTGTTTTATTGTATATGGTTCTGATATTTTGTGTTCCTAGTGTGTTTTGAGAGTGAATGTATTTATTGGTATGAATGTGTAGTGTGAGAGGGCCGATGGCAGAATATTAAGTACACCATCAATAAGGTGAGTTGTACAATAGGTGTAAAGATGATGGAAGAATATTGAGTATTCCACCACGCTAATAATTTTATTTATTGATCTATCTATACTTTGATCTGATCACACTAATAAATGTGCAATAAAAAAATATTTTCTTGAACTGAAAAATTGTAAATAATTTTTTATTGTACTTGTTATTTTGTTGTTACAAAGCACAGAGAAGAGTAGTAGTGGCCAAGGAAGTTTATTGTTTTTTAACAGGCAGTACAAATTCCATCATCATCATTGGTTTATATAGTATGTACGTATATATTCTTTTACTTATGTGGTAACACAAATAAGATGTTTATTGTTTGATTGTTTGTAATTGGGCACTTACCCAAAAGGTTTTTTTTAATAAATACAAATACAGATGCTAAGGAGAAATTATTATACTTACTTTTTTTGTTTGGTCATTCGCCACTTCTTTGACTTCACCGTTTGTATTTGCAACATCTTTTTCTCCTGCAAATAAAAGAAAATTTAGTTAGTATATGCATTCATGTACAAGCTTCACCCGCCATTTTTGGAGTTAAATTACCTCTTGGAGGTCCAGCGAGGTCAGTAGGACGTTTAGGCAAATTATCTGGTTCGTTTATAGTGACCGAAAGTTTTCTTTCCACGTCGGGATTGGGTTTCACAGGTTGGGGAGAAGGTTCAGGTGGGGGTGGCTGGGCGGCCGTGGGTTCTGGTCTAAGGGCTGCGGACTGAGGACGTGGTATATTCGGATTTACCGACGGAGGCCTGGACATTGGCAGCCCCTCTGTTTTCTGTTCGCCCTGTTCTGATAAACTTGAAAGGCTAGATTGACGCCCGGATTGTGGGCTTCTCATGGGGTACATGCCAGGTCCGGCGGGTGACTGGGGAGGTGTTCTGTTGGGTGGCCTCATTGGTGGGCCGCTACCTGGCCTGACACCCATTGGTCCGGGCATGGACATGGGCCGAGCACTTCCTGGACGGCTCTGAGCCGAACCTGTCATGACATCGTCATCGTCGTCCAAAGAACGACCCATCTGCGAAGCGCTGGGCGGTCGACCGGCTGACATTGGCCGGGGCATCCCGGGGACATTCTGGAATCCAGTTCTGGAGTCAGCCCTCTGGAGAAAAGGTGATCTAGGTGGAGGTGCACCACCAGGGCTGGGCGTCAAGGAACCTTCCTGAGTCTGCGGTCGAGACATCTGCCCGGGTGGCGGTCTCACCATCCCAGACGGAGGACGCATAACGCCATTAGGTTCTTGGACCCTCGGCCTGTCTTCAAGGTTCTGCATTCTCTGGATCTGGTGTTCGTGGCTAAATCGGAAATGTGGCTGGTCCGGTAATTTGGCTTTTAAGACAGACCAAGGGGACGCTCTTCTTATTCCCCCTTGCAATGGAAGCCTGTTCGGAGGTGGAGTGAACCCTCTTCCGAATTCCTGAGGCCTTTGCTGTCTTGGCCAGTTGAAGTGTGCGGGTGGTCTTGCTCGTTGCCCTTCTGGCTTCTGATGTTCCTGGATTTGTTCTCCACCGACCTAGCCAAAGAAAACATTTCAACCAACTTAGCAATGTGACGGAGAAAAAAAAGGGGCACTTCATGTCTGAAGGGCACAGTTTCGACCTTCACCATCTCAAATAATCTTACAAGAAATTATCAATCCAAAATAAAAAAGTTGCAAGAGGTTGAGTTTTTGCTTGTATTATAAAGTACCAATATTAAATTATGCTTAAATGTGTAAATATTTTAAAAACTGTGCTGGATTTTCTAACAAATTAGACTTTATCAGACCTAATATAATTTGTAGTTAATATTATACGAGTTTTTTCCCCTTAGGGGTCACTGGTGATCAGTCTCCTTTTTTTTCCACTGCGACCTAAAATTTCTTTTCTGGAATTGATCCTTTTTTATTTCCAAGTGTTGAAAAGTACACATCCCTTAAGGCCGTTTAGAACTTTCCATGGTTCCTCTTCTCTTATTTCTTTAGGCGTCCACTTCGGCTTTCCAGGCCAAAGCTTTGCAGTCACAAAGGACATACTTAGAAGTCAGCTGGTTTCTATCTTAGTTTTTACCATTTTTTGACGTAGTAATTGAATGGGAAATGGTAAGTATAAAGGCTTATTATTTTCCTTAATTCTTGCTTACTCAGAGAGGTAGATTTTTGTTTTCCTTTGGAGATGTTGAGGAAATTACTTGATTGTTTTGTACCTGGTGAATTTATCCATCATCTGGTCCATCCTTTTCCATCTAGTTCAGTTTGGCTTTTAGCATTCTTTACAGATGCCAATTTGTGGTTGTGGTCCAAATGGCATAAGGGATACTCTTGATTGTACTAGTTTGTCAGCCTGATGAATGCCTTTTTGCACCCTCATCGTAGTTACCTGATTACGTTCTCCCTAGAGCTGAATATACGTTATGCATTCTCAGACCAGCTTTCAGTAGAAAGTGGAGGAACCTAAAGCCTTCAGTGCTGAGAATATATCTGTGTATCTTTTGATCCTTTTTAAAATATTTCTTGTGAGATATGGGCCTAAAAGTTTTACTAGGACAAGTTTGCGCCTTTGATGCCTGCCCTAATTCATTTTAGATCCATCTGTATGCGATAACAAGGCTCTCCTATTAGTTTCAGAATTTCAAAATCATTATTTTTATTTGGAAGGGTCTGTCAAAGTTTTCTTTTAATGTCATTTTGTTGGATATTTTTGTAACCATTTAATTTATTTTTATCCTCTTTAGGATTTTTCTATGACTCTTTTAGGCTGTGCTTTATTTCATTTTGTTCTACCGTGTTTGTTCTTTTGTTTGCCATCCTCCGGATATATGTTGCAACTGTTGCAATTGCAGGGCCACTTCTATTGCTGAAGTAGGGCAAAATATGTTCTGTAATGTGATGACACATCAATATTTGTAATTTCTTTACTTGATCCTATGTCTACTTTACTAAGGGGTATCGTGCCCCAAATATCTATGGGATTTGCAGCACCATGCATGTGTTTCTATATGCTATGTTTCTTTTGAAATCTGTAGCTGAGAATTTAAATATAATTACAATTTTGCATTGTTTCGAGGAAGAATTTAGATGAACTTAAAAATTTATATGTTCTTTTTAATAAAGCAAAAAGCTCAACATCCACACTTTTTGACTTAAAACAAGACTGGTTTTATTTAATGCAAATACGAGATGGCCAAGGTGTAATCCGAGGAACATCATATCGGCCGAGGATTGATCTAATGCCAGGAAGACCGCTGATTCAACCGTCCTACCCTGACAACGCTTCCTTTCCCCAAAGTACAGAAAGTTGTACGTGAATACTTGTGACCCAGGAAAGAATACTACTTCGTGCTTTGTGCTCCTCTACGTCTTACCGTATCTCTATCGGCAATGCCCCTTGACGAGGACCCATCCTCATTTTGCCCGTTCACCAGGGACTGGTTCGTTCGTTGGGGTTCCGCAGCCATTTATTTATTTATTTATTATTATTGTTTATAATTTTTTTTTATATATTAAAAAATGAAAATATTTATTCTTCTCTTGTTAACTGTTTATTTTAGGTTTAATTAACATAATGTTTAAGGTATGCAGTTTTTAATTTTTCGTAGAAACTGTAGACAAAACACAAAACATTTAATACAGACTACACAAAATAGAGTTAGTTACATTTGAAAAATAAAATTTTTGTCAAAATATTTTTTTCCTTCAAAATAAGCCCACTTTGGTCATTTGATCGAAACAAATATTTTAATTTCATTTTAAATCATACACAACTATTCATTCAAAGCTGAGTGTCTTAGTAGGGCTTGTTCAAAAGTAATATATCTAAGTAAAAAAATAATTGTGATTTTAATTTTTATCTTTGATATGACCTCTATTTTTAATTAAGAATGTTGGCGGGCTTTGGCAGTGTGATAATGTATGATAATATTAATTTTCGGCAAGTAAATAGATTCCACATAAGATAAAATATGATTTGTATGCTGACAGCAAACCGATTTATTGATTTTTATAAGCTTACTTATTTTGTTATGGCTTTTTCGCTTAATTAATCAATGCAACATTTATTTTCTACTTTTGTTTATAAGAAATAATTTTAATGAGATAAATAGTTCGAGTTCCAAACAGGACTGGAACTATCTTATGATGTCTTTGGCTAACCAAAGTTTGGATGAGAATGTAGAAAGTTCCGGAAAATAAGTAGAAAGAAATGTTATTCCAGGGACTTTACCCGAGAACTGACGATTAGGAATAATAGTTGTTTTGAGTTCGGCCTGATGGAAGAAGTTTCTCCTTTTTTGAATTATTTTCTTCCTCTACCGCGCAAAATTTCTTTTGGTGCAATAATAATAAATAACCTTTTTGATCAATTTTATGGCCCAAAATTACATCTAAAATGATCTTGACTAAAAACTACACCAATAAAAAAAGAAAGGCGAATTTAAAACCAATGGCTTTAGCTATACAAATAGACGGTAATACAAGCTAGTTCTTTCTGTTTACAAAAGTACTTTATAAACCATTGTTAACTCCAAATAGAGTATGTTTTTTTTTCTTTTAAGTCTTAGTGATGAATTGGTATAAGTTAACTACAGATAAATTCTGATTATTTTTGGACTAGCTTATCCCAATCCTAACTTATTTATGAAATATTTATGTTCATTATGCTTGTTACCCGATTCAAACCCCAAAGATAGGCGCAACTCTGAATCCTGTTGATTAGGATACAGAGCCCCAGAAGTCTTGATCAGATCAAATCCCAATTAATTAAATTATAAAACAAATTAATTAAAACAGACTTATTAATTAAACGAAAATAATGATAATTAACATAAATTAAACTCATTTTTTCTTTTCTATAAACAATTAGAATTTTTTAAGTTGACCAAATAGGAATTTTATCTCTTACAAACTCTTTGTCAGACCATAAGGAAAACAAGGGTGGATCAAATCACTATTTGATTATAATCAACCCACGTGAACCATAACTTCCTCAGCACTATTTTTTAGGATCTAACACTTTTAGTCTCTCATGAACGAAGGTGCTGGAACCCTGGACTCTTTCCTAAAAGTGGGAATCCTTTCTTTAAGCACTGTAATAAAGTCTAAATCATAAAGTTGATAGTTTCATAATTCATAACAACTATGAAATAAATTGAAGTGTGACACATGTATATATTGAAGATTTTGTATACTCTGAGATATGGTGTGCATGGATGTAATTTCTTAGTGTGAAAATGAGATCCTGAGGAATGTTGAGTATTATGGGGCTGCGTGCGTGTGGGTGTCTGTGTGTGTGTGTGTGTGTGTGTGTGTGTGTGTGTGTGTGTGTGTGTGTGTGTGTGTGTGTGTGTGTGTGTGTGTGTGGATGTAATTTATTATCGTGAGTGAAGAGACTTCTTCCCCAATTACCCTCCTACAGGAATATTGAGTACGTTGGTGACATGGTTTCTTTAAGTTTAAACTGAGGTAATAAAGAAGTGAAACTTCTATTAAAATGTTGCGTTTACCTGTCTTTTTCTCTTTCTCGACTATTAAAACGGTATAGATTATATAGTTAAATATTTCTCTCAAATACATTCAGAGGAAGAGGGAGAGAGAGAGAGAGAGAGAGAGAGAGAGAGAGAGAGAGAGAGAGAGTGAGAGATCGCCATTACGGCGTTTCGCAATGCTAAACCTGCACGACCGAGCCGTCATCCGGGATTCCAATCTATCCGAAGCGCCTTGCTAAGAAGAAATCTGTACAATGCCCCCTCTTGAAGGGCTCGTTGCACCAACTTGGTTTAAACTCAGTTCAGTTCTGAACCGAGTTCAACTCAAAAATTGCGTTTTTCAATTTGTCTTAACCTGTCTGTTTTTAAGAGCGTGTTCTCACAATTCACCTTTTGATGTTTTTATTTACATGTTTCAATAAAAATGTATTAACTTTTGATTTGAAAACCAATTATCTTTCTTATACAATTCTAAGTTCTAATTGTCTTAATTTTGTTGTTCTAATCACGAATACTAAGTCCAGCAATTTTTGTTTCTTTTACGCAAGAAATTTAATTATTTTATAATCATCTACGCATATCTATTTATACTCATCAAGTCGTGTCATCATTAGGCCGAGAGGTTGATAAAATCATAAATTTTGTGCCAAAGACCTTAATTTTGCAATAACGGATCCGGTAATTTCCATTTCTTTGATAATAAAACTGAAGGATTTTCCTATCGTTTATCTGTATTTCTTATAAGCATATTGTATATATCGTTGATTCCAAAGGAAGTAAGGATAAAATCCTAGTTTTAGCAAAATTTTTCATTACAGCTATCATAAATGTGAACAAGTTTTGTGTCAAAGACGGCCTTGATTTTGCAGTAATGAATCAGATAATTCAAAAGTTAAATAATACTTACGATAAAATTCTAATGATTTTAGATTCAACTTCGATTCAATTGAGGCTTATTGTTGTTTTGCTTTTTGACTATTTTACAAGCAAAGACAACTAAAAACTAATTGAACTAAATCTGAACAACAAAACCGAAACATAAGAACGTGCCTTAACAGAAACCTATTCGTTACTAAACGAAATTTCATTTGGATGATAGATGGATACAAGGGTAATCTAATGGATGAATTTTTACAAATAAATGTAAATAAAGAATAGATGATGCAATGTGGCTGGTGCAACGGGCCCTTAAAGTTTGTTAACCCCTTAACCCTTTGGAATATTGAGTTCTCTGGGAGAGTATGAATGAAGTCTTTATGTGAATGTAATATAATAACGTGAGCGGCGAGACTTCTCCCCCAATTATCACAAAGAATATCGAGCAGTCTGGAACATTGTGAATAGAGTCTGATTGTGAATGGAGAAACTTCTTCCCTATTTACCCTGACGAATATCGAGTACGATATATAATATGACACGGTTTCTTTAAACTAAGAAAATAGTGAGACAAGTAAAAAAATTCATTTACCCATCTTTTTCTCTTTCTATACCATTAAAATTGTATAGGTCTTTCTTGTATTTGTATAGGCCTTGTAAAAGCCAAAACTTTGTTAATATTATAGAGAGATGAGTGAGAGAGAGTGTGTGTGTGTGTGTGAGAGAGAGAGAGAGAGAGAGAGAGAGAGAGAGGGAGAGAGGGAGAGGGAGAGAGGGAGAGANCAAAATATATTTTTTTATATTCAATCAAAGTATTTCTACTCACTCAAAGTGTTTGTCTTCTGTGTAATTGTGCCATTCTTGCGTGTCGTGTTGAGAGTGCCAGTGAGATATTGCTGTTTTATGTTTGTATATGTTGGATTTTGAAGGGGGGGAAGGAAGTCGGTATAGAAAAATTGTAAATCCAGGCCCTGAAGATGATCTCAATAAAGATCGAAACTTGGCACGATAAAGAAAATATTTTTCTGAAACCTGCATCACACCAGACCGCATCTCATGATTCCTGAATAATTATCGATTAACGGTCACTAATCACCACACATTTAATTTAATATAAAATAAAATATTATTATCCGTATTTACCCCTTTATTTACGATTTAAAATATCATTTATGCTGAGTAATCCTTTATTCTCTTATCCCCAACCGTCATTTCATTTGGTATTACAATTTACCGAGCATGTCTGAAAAATCTGGTTTCGTGGAGTTCTGGTCGGTTCTGATGAAAGTTCATTTTTTGCGGCAGGGTTATTGACTCTAAATTTTATACTCAACAGATCAATATTGCATATTGAGCTTCAGAAGGGAAATACCTTGGTTTGGTCAGAAGACCCTTTATTTACCAGAATAAATTGATTTTGCAATAAGACGACGCATAAGAACACAGAGGGCAATCGAATCAGGCTGAATTCGCAGATACGGAAAGATATATCATTTTGACCTTGACTGTAGCAAGGAGAAGGACGGCGCTGTCAGGATCAGAGATGTTTTTTGGCCATAAAGGTACCAGTACTAAATACCAATGTTTGGACATCTAAGATAATTATGGTTTCTTATATGCGAGATAACAGGCAGGCATTCACTGAAGTTTTGAAGATTGATAGATTAAAATGATCGGAAACGACCAAACTATTGGCGTATCATCTGAAAATTCTGTATCTCAAGTTTTATTTTGTCACATTTTCTTCGGCATACGAAGTACGGTACCAAGTTGTGCCTTGGGTTTTGCAAGTTTACATTGGTATCACCGTTGGTTCGTGATTTTGCGCAAGATGGGATTCGTCGAGCCGATATCCACAAGGCGATTTAACTAAAGAAAAAAATGGGACATTTGTCTCGCGTGCGGCGGGACCATAGGCCCTTCTTTCCCCGGGGAAGGCAAGCATTGATTTTTTGTTCAAGACGACTCATGTTTCCCCGCTTCTAAGAAGCATTGCGTTTTATGCGCTTGTGGTAACCGAGTGATTGAAATTGAAGAACGCCTAGGAACCCTTTAAACACGTTCCCCTAAAAATGAATTAAGCGTGATGTCAAGTTTATTAAATGCTTACTGACATATACACGCAAATACGGGGCACT